TTGCCTCATGTTATACAACTTCAAGATTTGAAATTATATAACTTCTATACCTGGTTTATGTTTATTGAAATAGTTAATTATTAATTTCTAACCTATTTTAACATTTACTCTTCGCACGCAAACTTACAGAAATGGATCCTTCATTTTCAATGTATAATAATAGTTATGATAATTATCCTTGATTTGATATCAACAAGAAATCTCAAAGCACTTTATAGTATTTATTATGCAATCTGGTGAATATGTATTTGTTGATGGATTTGACAGCCAATTTGCACACAGCAATGTCCCACAAACAGCCAATGACCAAGTTCTATTTGGAGGATTGTTTTGATTGATACAAAATCTTTAACACCCACTTGAAAGAGCAGACGGGACCTTCAAGGTTTCATCTGAAAATTGGCATTTCTGATAATTCAACATTTCCCGTGGTTTCTGCATTGGAGTGTCAGCATATACTAGGAATTCACAGTCCCCATGTGGGGTTTTTATCTACTACCTGCTGACTCAGAGGCAAGAATTCCACTAAATGTACCAGGCAGGCACAGGGTTTATTGCTTTTCGGGATTTTTTTCCTCAGAAAATTTCAACGCTACAAAAGAATCATCAAGACTTTACACATACTTTTTCACTTACCTTCAAATAAAGCAAATTAATAAATTGATGAGTATATAACAAGACAAATTATAAAAATTATTCATTTTGGATCAATGGGACTGAAATGATTGTTGTTTAAAAGAACATCATATGGCTGAATTGCCTTCTTCTGCGCTGTAAATATCTATTGTTCTAATAGTTTGAAACTAATGACTTTTTTAAAAAATTCTTTCACGGTAATTGATGGTGGAGGAGGGGAAATGAGAACTCGTTGTAGTGCTATCTTTGAATTGCTACTGGCCAGTTGTATGCCATATCAACCTATCTGCTCCCTCCACTCAGCAGGCTATAGCTTGCTCCACGTCCCCGCCCGGCCCACACCACCATTGGCGGTCAGACTTCAGCCTCTCTCCCACCCTTTGGAACTCAATCCCACATTCCCCTCACCTCGCTCCCTCCCTTGCCTCCTTCAAGGCATATCTCAAGACCCTCCTCTTTGACCGCACCTTCGGCCACCTGCCTGCCGTCCCTGCCCACCACCCTCCCCGATGCTGACCCCCAGCTCAGGTCCAAATCCTTGACTGTCCAGTGCCTTGAGACGTCCTCTCGGTGTGAAAATGTAATTTTGTATTGTTTTGTACCTGGCGGAATTCCAGATACAGTGCAGTGAGAGTGTCAGTTGGGTTAGTATTGTTACATGTTTCTCATTAAAATATATTTTCTTACCAGTTTTCTCAGTCACATTTTCTACCTGATTCTGTGATTTTTGATAAGTTTGAGTGTTTTCCCTTCTACTCTTCCATGACCAGGCACCCGCTGGTATCTTGCCTAATTAGGTTTGACATGTTATTTCACTACTGGGCTCATTATTACCTCCCCTAACCCTTGTCTACCTTGGCATCCACAACTCTAGCAGAGATTCTGGATAACCAGCTGATATGACCTGCAATACTGAGGCCATTTGTAAAACATTTGCATTCCAAAGAGGGCAATTAATCATACCTATGAATCAACAGCATTTCTGACTTTCCTTTTGTACTTTGAAATGTGCATGATTGAATAGATCACTGATATATTCAGTCCACAGATTATGTGTCAGCTTGGCTTAGTTGGCAGCACTCTCGCCTCTGAATCAAATTAGAAGATTGTGGGTTTAGGCCAGGGGTGGGCAAAATACGGGCCATACCCGGCCCGCCAAATGATTCTATCAGGCCTGTCATTGTGTCTAACAATAGTTCGTTCAGTCCCAGAAAGTCGCACAAATTCGCATTTGAACCAAACTGGGAACATTAGCCAATCACACTGTTTAGTTGTGCGCAGGCTCCCTTAAGTGTTGAATCAGGCTGACGTCAGAAATGTACGGATCGGCAAATTTTCAAACGCGCGAGCGGCAATCACGGCAATACTTTTCACTGAAGAGGACGTTAATTCAAAATGAGCTTATCAAAGAAGCGGAAGGTGAACGCTAAAGGCCGAATATTCAACAAAAAATGGACTTCTAATTTTTTTTTACCGGTGTGGGTGGAAAAGCTGTGTGCGTAATTTGCAAAGGAAGTGTCGCAGTGCTCAAAGACTACAACTTGAATCGCCATTTTGAGAGCAAACATGCTCGCAAATATAAGAACGTTTCTGCTAAAGAAAAAGGAAAGAAAGCTGATGAGATGATGCGAATTGGCTCTCTGATTTCGCATTTGCCCTTGATATCAAAATTGCAACGGAAGGGGGCCTTTGGGCACGATTTGTATTGCAGTGTCAAGTCATTTGTGACAAAATTATTTATTTTATCGCATCAGATAGGAAACAGGCTGTTTGCCCACTTTCCAACTTTGCAGCAGATTTACTGTTTGCGATCAAAGTCTTAAAAGTATACTTTGTCACTATTTGACTTACATGTTAAATTTTCTCGCCGATTTCAGGATTTCAATTTGACCGTAAATGACCTGTCTTTGGTCTCTTCACCTTTCCATTTGATGTTGACAAAGGCCCATTTGACCTCCAACTCAAGCTTATTGACCTGCAATGTGATCCATTGCTTGCGGAGCAATTCAAATCAGTGTCGCTTCCCAGTTTTTATGCCTCTCTTAATGAATGTACCTTTCCAAAAATAAAGGCTGATCCCCGGAGAATGCTTTTGCTGTTTGGATCAACATACATATGCAAGGAGACATTTTCTGTGATGAGATTCAATAAATCAAAACATAGATCTGTGATGACCGATGACCACCTTGCAGCAGTACTCTGCATTGCAACAACGGAGACGATGCCTGACCTCAATTGTCTGGCTAATGCACATCAGTGCTTTCATTTTTCCCATTGAGTGAGCTTCTCACATTCTCATCAATATGTGAATAAATGAATAAATATCGAATAAATGTCTACTCAATGAGTTGTTTTTAATTTAACCTAATCTTAATGAATGTCAATTATATAGACTTTATTTTACGCATCTACAAGTGTAAGACTTAATTTTGAGCTATTATTAAGCATTTGCATCTATATTAAGTGTGTGGCTGGGAAGTTTACCAAAACTTGTGAAGTGGCCCGCCAGCCAAAATAATTTCCCACCCCTGGTTTAGGCCCCTCATTGGGACTTTGAACTCTACGTAGGAATATAAGAACAGGAGGAGGTCGTTCAGCCCTTCAAGCCCGTTCTGCCATTTAATTATTTCTCCCACAAATATACAGTCAATTCACTTTACAGTGTGTTCTGTGAAGCGCTTTGGGACGTCCTCCTGACGTGAAAAGCGCTATATCAAATGCAAGGATTATTATTATCTTAAATACCTCAATCTAATCACCCCTCAACCTTCTAAACTCAAGGGAATACAATCCAAGTTTACACAGCTTTTCCTCATAATTTAGGCCTGTGTTACTGCAGTGCAGGCATTGACAAAGGCATTATCTCACTTCCTTTTTCCTGCTCAATGCACCATATTGTATTTACCAACAAAATATACAGTCATTGCGCTTTACACTACTGTGAAGCACTTTGAGACATCTGAATATGATATATCAAATGCAAGGATTATTATTAAGCACTTTGAGACATTCATTCTAAGTAATAATAATAATCCTTGCATTTGATATAGCGCTTTTCACGTGTTCTAGACATCTCAAAACGCTTCACAGAATATACTGTAAAGTGAATTGACTGTATATTTGTGGATGAAACTCGGCAGCCAATTGCGCTCAGCAGTGTCCACAAACAATCGTGGAATGAAGTGACCAATTTATTATTGTTTTTTTTCTTGAGGAATTATTATCAGGTGTGTGGAATAAGGAAACTTGCCCAAGTTTTGCCCTGCCGGGAATCGAGTGCTCTAACCACTGAGCTACAGGACTCCATCAAATGGAATTTGCAGAGTCCTGGGAGCAGGTCATCTCCCCATCCTCTTATTGGGGAATAATCAATGAATGTGAATCTGCACCTAATACTCTACCAGAACTAGGTGGGCAGGATCCTCCAGGGAGAGGGTGGATTCCATTCCAGAAGCAGGAAAAATTAAATGCATAAATGGCATATATATGTGGAATTCTGTTTGCTTTGGATATTCCTAACTGTGGTGTGGGTTTCCAGATCTATTAAAATGACCAAACATGGTACTTTTGATTATATGTAACACGGTGCTATATAAGTGTAAGTTGCATTGAATACGAAAGCCATTAAGATTCAATTTGCAAATATTTCTGGAATCTGTTTCTGGAAGGAGATACACTATAAATAAACATGCTATTAAAATTAAAGAAAATAACAATAATAAAATCCATGTAGTTGATAGCACTTTTTGATGTCAGGAGAATGTTTCAGTGCACTTCACAGGATTTATTGTAAACAGTAATAATAATAATCCTTACATTTGCTATTGCACTTTTCACGTTGGGAGAACCAACTTTAACTTTACACTTTAAACTTTAAAGTGCAGTTGCAAAGATAGCGATAGTTTCATAAAAGGAAATATATGCACTGCACTTATGTGTATGGTATGGTAAACAGTAGTTTCAAAATATAAAATAATATCTAAGATTGTTGTATTAATCTACGATGATGTACAGGGGGAGTAAAACTCATTTAGAGGGTTGGTCCTCTTCAAGATGGGTGAGCTGTTGGCTTGACTGCCAGATCCATTGGCCAATCAGAGGTGAGGACATCCCACCAAGCAGCTCGCTGGACTGTGCTTTTGATCACCCTGTTTCCCCCCACCCCTGCCCTCCACTCTCCCCGAACCCGACGCCCAGCTCAAGTCCGAAACTCTGCTGTCCAGCACCTTGGGACGTCCTCCTGACGTGAAAGCTCTATACAAATGTAATTTTGTTGTTGTTGGGGGTTGGGCCTCTCTAGTCCAAGCCACCTGCCGCTAATGTTTATATTTATGCCATTAATCAGAAAATAAACTGTTTTGCAGGCAACAATACGAATACAACCATCAACTTGAATATGACCATTTCAGACACACTCGAGGAACAAATGACAAGGTACAGACCATTATAGAACAATTGCAATATTGTAACTGCTATTTGGATGTGAATTTGGTCGGGTGAGGTTTTATCCTTAAAAAGGATGTTACAGCCTTGAAGGGAATTCAGGAGAGATTAACGAGAATGTTACCAGGGCTAAGGGGCTTTGGGTATGAGGGGAGATTGGAGAAGTTGGGTCCGTTTTCATTGAAGCAGAGAATCTTGAGAGGGGACTTGATAGAAGTGCATAAAGTTATGAGGGATTTCAACAGGTTAAAGAGAGCGAAGCTATTTGCACTGGTAAGGGAGTCAGTGATTGGAGGACATAGATCCAGTCAAACTTGTGCTGCAACAACCAAACTGGCCTATAGATAAGGTTAGCCTCTGAGTAAGGGTTTGTTGGCATGCAAACTGGGCTGTCTAAGCTGTTCCAGGGTGGTTGCTAAAAGGCTGTGGTTGCCCAAATCAACAATTTAAAACTAGGGAAGAGATACTGACTGAATTAAGTTGGTTTCCTTTACTCCTGCAAGGACAAAGTGCCTCTAGGAAGGCAGTTTTGAGCAGGTCCACAGCAGCGAAGCATCAACAGTGACATCTGAGATTGAGAGGAAAAGCCTGGCTACAGCAAATAAATCACTGATACATGATGTCCTTATTCAGGAAAACAGCAGAAATTTGCAATAATTCTTACCAATTGTGTTAATCGTCACTGGTGAAAATCACTCCCTATCGAGTGCATTTTGGGGAACACCATTGCCACAAAGACAGCAGGGGTTTAAAGAGAATACCTCACCACCACCTTCTCAGGGCAACAAGGGATAGGCAATAAATACCAGCAAAATGTTAGAGTCACCCACATCCAAATATATTATGAATTGCCGCAAAGTTTACCCCTTTATTTCGACTGTGATTTGTGTCGAGTTGCATTGGAAGTAAATGTAAATGACACTGGATTAATTTAGTCAAAATCAACTTTTGAAACACTATTCAGTTATTTTGTAATTGAATGTAATTATTTTTGTAATTATTTTGTAATTAAATTTCCTGTTTTTTTTCAGATATTCCTTCTACTATGTAGGGATAGGTGTGGGTGTTATGATAGCTGCTTACATGCAGGTTAGTTTCTGGGCACTGGCTGCGGCCAGGCAGACTAAAAAGATGAGATCAGCCTTTTTCCATGCTGTGTTACATCAGGAAATAGGATGGTTTGATGTCAACGAGATTGGAGAGCTCAATACACGATTAACAGAGTAAGTGTTTCTGACTTTAAACTCCAGTAATACATAGTAGAAGCCCGTTATAACCGTAGTAACACGGGTTCTCTAAGAGCAGTTGGGATGTGGACTCTGACATTTCCCTACCACCGAAAGATCTCAAATGTGCTTGCTGGCGCCTTAAAACGCTGGCAAGTGGAAGACAAAATGGCCGACTTCCAGGTCATTAGGCCAACATCACTCTGCCATGATTTCTGCCATTTTGAAGCCATCATTCTACGTAAATAAGCAGTGTAAGGGGAAGTGCTGACTGGTGATCATGTCCTGTTATAGCGTAGGTTAGGATTTTATGAACTCCCAACCACTGAGTTATAAGATCTTTATTCTGTACATAATGTCCTATATCTTATGTTTGCATAAATCAAGACAGTTTATTTACTTTTATACTGTGGGTTTTCCGACAATGCATTTCTACTGACAGAGGCTGATTGTGATGAAAAAGTAGTCACTGCCTTGAGTCATTCACGTTGGTGCCTTTCCGCAAATTTGTTGATATTTCCGATAACTAAATGCTCGGCACTGATGTCAAATATTTTTTTTTGGAGTCAACCAGCAATGCAGAAAGTCAGCACCACACTTAAGAGTATCCAAACCAGAATGTTATTATCAGCCTAGACTGAGTTTAAAATCTCCACGTGGGGCTTGAACCCACAACCTTATTATTCAAAGGCAAGAGTGCTACTAAATGAGCCAAGCTGACACCTGATATATGGATTTAAGACACTTCTATCAACATCAACAATTTAAACTTATGTCGCTCCTTTCATTTACAATGAACATCTAACACACTTAACCGGTTATGAAAGGGAGCACTGAGCAGATAGAAGGAAGGGATAATTAACAACAACAACAATTTGCTTTACAGTGCCCTTCACACTGGGTGTAGCGCCCCAGAGTGCTTGACAGTGGTGGAGCACGATGGGCAAGCAGAATGCCGGAGTCAGTCAAGCGGAAGCAACAGATTGTGGGTTGGGGAGTAAGCAGGTCAGAGAGGTAGGGAGGTGCCAGGGATGCAAGAGGTGCAAGAAGGGATTTGAAAACGAGGGTGAGGATCTTGAAATTGATCCATTAAGGGTTTTGACCTGATGGCACAGCCACCAATCATGGGATAGAGGGAGCAAGGGATTAACAATAAACCAGAACTGGAAGAGGGGAGGATACGGTCAAGAGAATAAGGGTGGAAGATGTTGCAAACGTAGGGAGGAGCAAGATCGAAGAGATTTGCTGGTCAAGACAAGGATGTTAAAGTTGATGCACGGGATCTTGGAAGCCTGTGGAGCTTGGAAAAATTGGGTGCGTGGAGCCATGAGCAACAATAACAACAACAACTTGGATTTATATAGCGCCCTCCACGCCGGACAGCGTCTCAGAGCGCTTCAAATTGACAGATCCCGGGACCGAGCCAGGGGGAGAAGGAGGAAGGTGACCAAAGGCGCAGTCCCGGGATCTGTGGAGCGGAGGACTCGGGGGACGAGGAGGAGGCCAGACCCGGAGGAACGAAAGCAACGCGTACTGTTTTGAGGAGAGAGAAGGTTAGAGAGGTAGGGAGGTGCAGAGGAGAATATGGGCTGCAGAGTCTAATCAAATAGAATAATAATCATTTTATTTGACAAAGCACCTTGTCTTGGCATGGAAACATTATAAAGTATGTCAGGATTTATTCTGCAACACTGCACTACCCAGTGTGAATAGCACTAATTAAATACAAGCTGTTGTTGTATAGTGCAATGACTGTGTCTTAATAGGTGAACACAGCATCCAATTTGCTCACAGCAATATCCCACAAACAGCCTTGAAGTGAATGAATAATTTTATCGAGAGGGTGGTCGGCCACCACATCGGGAAAAACTCCTTTGCCCATAAATAAATCAGAACATTTCAAAGTGAAGTTCTTGGAAATGATGGAGGAAAATAAAGGAGCAGACCAAGGTCCGTTAAATTAATTGTTGGCTGGAATTTCAACTAAATAAGTTGAGGTGGGCCACGATACACAAAGAGGGTTCAAAATCACAATGCGTAGAGTTCAAGACTACTCTGCATTCAATCAAAGGTTAGAAGTACGAAAGAAAGTAAATGATGTCTTGAGCACAGAATCATGAGGATTTTTTAATCTTGACTTGAGGCACATTTCAGAGATGACTTGTAACCATTCAGGCTTACAGTATGATTGAAAGAACTATTCACCGCAGGAGGTTTGCTCTTAATTAGGCGTAGTCTCTTGAATTTGGTGATGTTGAAGATCTTTAGACCAGAAATAGTTCATATAAGTATGTCACCCTAGAGAAGTTTGAAGGGAGTTATTGGGAAACTGAACAATAACTTTGCTTTACTATCTGCTCGGCTCAGCTGGCAGAACCTCTGGGTCAGGAGGTTTTTGATTCAAGCTGCACATCCGGCTTTTTTTTTAGCTCAAACTCACAGTCTGTGCCAAGATTCCAGTGCTGTACTGGGGAGCTCTGCATTGACGGAGGTGCCATCCTTCGGGTGAGACATTAAAGGTCCCGTCTACCCGTTCAGATGGGTAGTAAAGTTATCTCACAACACTGTTTGAAAAAACAAAGAAGTTTCTCCCAGTGTCCTGAACAAAAGTCCCCTGGATAAATGTGTTTATTCATTTTGTGGTAGTTCGTCTAACAGTGCTGTGTGCAATCTGTGTGCTGCGTTCGCCTACAAATACACAGTCACTACACGTTACAGAAAAACTCTGTGAAGCACATTTGAAACATTGTAGCTTTATAGACGATGTATTAAATGCAATGATTATTATTATTTTAAGATGCTATTCAATTCAAGTTCTTTCTGTTATACTGACGCTTTTATCCTTCTAGTGATATCTTGAAAATAAGCGATGGCACAGGCGATAAAATAGGCATGCTCATACAGTCACTGGCAACCTTCATAGCTGGATTTGTAGTTGGCTTAGTGAAAGGCTGGAAACTGACACTGGTGATACTTGCTGTCAGTCCAGTTATGGGACTTGCTGCAGCCACCTTTTCCAAGGTTAGTGGAGTTGATTATTTGTACTTTCATCCTGTTTGACTGTAAAAACATTCATTTTCAGTTTGAAAACAATACCGTGATTTGCTCTCCGGTCAGTACTAAGACCTCCACAAAAGGCTGAATCGATACCGATACTCCATTGCTACGCATGTGGAGTCCTGTAGCTCAGTGGTTAGAGCATTTGCTTTGCAAGCGAGAGACCTGAGTTCAATTCCAGGCAGGTCAGGGCGAAACCTTGGGCAAGTTTCCTTACTACACACGCCTAATAATAATCCCTCCAAAACTAAAAACAATAATTAAATTGGTCATTTTCAATCTACGACTTTGTGGGACATTGCTGTGCGCAATTAGCTGCCGCGTTCGTCCACAAATATACAGTCAATTTACTTTACAGTGTGTTCTGTGAAGCGCTTTGGGACATCCTCCCGACGTGAAAAGCGCTATATCAAATGCAAGAATTATTATTATTATATCAACTTGGAGCCAGCTCAGCTCCAAATAAGGTCCTGCTTACCTGCCCCCGTCCCCCAAGTTACCATTTTGCCTTTTTATATTTGACAAGTACAGGTTTGAGGCCCCACTAGGTGGATAGCATGTACGATTCTAGGTAGAAGGAAAACCTGTGTGAGAGTATAGAGTGAGGAGAGGATTGAGCTTTGCTGTGATACTTTCCATTGTTACATAACCTGTAGCTCCCTTTCAAAGCCCACAACTCTACAATGATGATGGGTGAGGTATCAGAGGGCATCCAGCACCTGTGGAACTACAACGACAACAACTTGTATTTATATAGGGCGGCATCCCAGAGCGCTTAACAATGGTGGAGCCCAATACCAAGCTAGGGGGAGGTGACATAGGCACGGTGGAAGAGAAAGGTCTTCAGGCGCATCCTGAAAATGGGGAAAGAGGGGGGAAGGTGAAGAGGTTGAGGGAGGGAGTTCCATAGCTTTGGGGTGTAGTGGCTGAAGGCGCAGCCTCCGATGGCGGAGCAGAGGATTCAAGGAACAAGGAGGAGGCTGGAGCCTGTAGAGCGGAGACAGCGGGTAGTGCTATCAGGAGACAGGAGATTGGAAAGATAGGAGGGTGCCAAGGACCTGAGGGATTTAAACACTAGAGTGAGAATCTTGAAGTTGATCAGCTCTGTGATAGGGAACCAGTGGAGTTTGGCCATGACTGGGGTAATTAGGGTGTGAACTTCAGTGCGGATGAGAATGCGTGCGGGATATCACAACATGCCAGCTATTCAGCCTCCAACTCGCTTGAATATTTCCACCTTGCCCCTTTCCTCCATACCTTTATAATAATAATAATAATAATAATAGTAATCCTTGCATTTGATATAGCGCTTTTCACGTCAGGAGGACGTCCCAAAGTGCTTCACAGAACACACTGTAAAGTGAATTGACTGTATATTTGTGGGCGAACGCGGCAGCCAATTGCGCACAGCAATGTCCCACAAACAGTCGTAAATTGAAAATGACCAATGTATTATTGTTTCGGGTTTTTGGAGGGATTATAATTGAAGCTGCCTTTAAACCTGCCTTTCAATTGCGCTTTGGGTCACTTGTTTTCACTAATAATGCACTAAATCTGAAGGATTTCAGTCACTCTGAGCTTGTTATTTTCTTTTGTAAATGATCCAGATATTGTCTTCGTTCACTAATCAAGAGCAAACTGCCTATGCAAAAGCTGGAGCGGTGGCAGAGGAGGTTCTGGGATCCATCAGAACTGTGGTAGCCTTTGGGGGACAGAAGAAGGAAATTGAGAGGTAAGAGCTTCCATTCTTCTCACCAGATGCGGGTGACTGCACTGGGGTTGGCGACCATAAATATAGCAATGGTTCTACTCACCCACAAGATATACAGTCAATTCACTTTACAGTATAATCTGTGAAGCGCTTTGAGATGTCTCGAAGATGTGATAAGGCGCTATATCAAATTCAAGGATTATTATTGTTACTTAAAGTGATCCTCAATTCACATGGTGCAGTTTCAATGATAATTATATCAGGAAGTGTTTGTGAAATATACACACATATACACAAATTGGATTATAATAACAACGACTATAAGAATGATAACATTGTTATAATAGTATAGCAATACAATAACAATTGTATTATTCTTATAAATACAGATTTTGCAAGAGACACATCAGCCTTGTATTCGCTTGAAAAATGACTAGTCTTTAAACTTTCCTACATTCTGACATTTTTCATGCTTTTTAGTTGCAAGTTCTTTCTTTTGCAGCTCTCATGTACTGAGCCAACATAGGTTCATCTTCCCAGTTCTTGCCAGACTCCACTGGCTCTCTGTTGTAGAATAGATTGATTTTGAGATCCTCCCCCTTACTTTTACTTTGTGCCCTGCCAACTCCCTACCTCTCTGATCTGCTCACACCCCACCGCCCTTTTGACAGACCATCCACACCGCCTTTTCCCTCCGCCACGGCTACTGCCATTCCCCACTCCTTGCACTCCTTTGCCCCCATTTTTCCCTCCTCCCTCTCAACCACAATCACCTGCATGAAGTTCACCACCTGCTGCCTCGACCCTCTCTCCACCCAGCTGCTGGTCGCTCAACTTCCCCCCTCTCCCCACTGCTGGTCGACACGGTCAACCAGTCTCTCTCCTCAGGCTCTGTTCCGCTCCCCCTGAAAACCGCTGTTATCACAACCCTCCTCAAAAAAACCACCCTCGATCCTTCTAATATCTCACACTACCGTCCCATTTCCAACCTACCCTTCCTTGTTAAAGTTCTGGAACGCATTATTGCAGGTCAACTTTAGTTACACCTTTCCCTCCAACTCCCTCCTTGAGGCCCCTGCAGTCTGGTTTTTGCCCTGACTGCCCACAGCACAGAGACAGAGCTTGTCAAAGTCACAAACAACGTCTTCTCTATCTGTGACCAGGGCTCCCTCTAACTCCTCATCCTCCTGATCTCTCTGCCGCATTTGACATTGTCGACCACCCATCCTTCTCCACCGCCTCCTCCCTCAACAATCTTAGTGCAATCCCACTCGCGTGGTTCGAGTCCTATTTAACCAACCGCCTCCACTTCATCTCGGCAAATGGTTTCTCTTCCTGCCCCCACCCAGTTACTTGTGGGGTACCCCAGGGCTCCAATCCTTGGCCCTCTTCTTTTCCCCATCTATATGCTCCTTCTTGGCAATGTCATCCGCAGACATGGGGCAAACTTCTACATGTATGCGGATGATGCACAAATCTACTTTGCCTCCTCCAGCATCGACTCCAGGTCTGTCGATGTTCTATCAGCTTCTCTGGCAGACATCATGGCCTGGATGAGTGCAAACTTCCTGCAGCTGAATGTGGACAAGATGGAAGCCGTATTCTTTGGCTCTCGAGTCTTCACTCCTGCGGATCTAAACTCCTCAACATTCCTGGGCTCTCCCTCAGAATCACCGAACCACCAGGACCACCTTCTTCCACCTCCGCCTCTGACTGTACCTTACCTCAAATGCAGCCAAAACCCTTGTGCGTGCAGGAGGTCACCTCCCACCTGGATTATTCCAATTCACTCCTTGCCGGTCTCCCCAGCTCCACTTTTCAAAAAATCCAGCTCATTCAGAATTTTGCCACCCCCATATTGACTCGGACCAAACTCCGTACCCACATCTCACCAGTTCTGGCCAGGCTCCACTGGCTCCCCATCACCAAATGGATTGACTTCAAGATCCTCACACTCGTGTTCAAATCCATTCACTCCCTGGCATCTCCCTATCTCTCCAAGTTCCTCACTCCCCAATCCACCATCAGGCACCTCCGCTCGACTGGCACCGGCCTCCTACTTGTACGTCGCACCTTCTGCTCCACCGTTGGAGGTCACATTTCCACCCAGTCACTATGCCCCAAAACTGTGGAACACTCTCCCTCAATGCCTCCACCTTGCCCCATCTCTCCCTGTTTTCAAGTCCTGCCTGAAAACTTCCTTTTCGACTATATTTATGGTCATCTTCCCACCACTGGCTCAGAGTCAGGCTCCACCACTGTTAAGCACTCTGAGACTTACCCTGTGTGGAGGGCGCCGTATAACTGCAAGTTGTTGTTGTTCCCCTTTCTTCCCCCCTCCTTCCTTCCTCAGCTCCCAGAATGAAGGTTGTTTTTTAAAAGGGTGAGTTCTCTGTTCGCAGTACAGCAAAGATAAAACCAAATTAATTCATTCATCATTTCATACAGGTATCACAAAAATTTAATTGACGCTAAGAACATTGGAATAAAAAAGGCCATTAGTACCAATTTAGGAGTGGGTTTCTCCTTCTTAGTAATCTACGCCTCCTATGCCCTGGCTTTCTGGTATGGCAGCACCCTCATTCTGGAAGATGACTATTCCATTGGAATCGTGCTTACAGTAAGTGACAGTCCAATTTGTTTTATTATTATGTTTCTGACTCTTTCGATAATCACTGCCCCTCCCCTACCCCTCTCCTTCACTCAAAAAAAATGAAACATTCTATTCCTTAGTTGAGAGGTCAAACATCTTGGGATAACTGCCCTAAAGGTTGTGCCCCTGTTGACCAAACTGGAATCCTAGAAATCTATATCGCAGAAGAAGGCCATTCGACCTGTTCGTGCCTGTGGTGTACTCACTCCCTACTGGTGCTATCTTCTCTTTATTTTTAGGTGGTCGGGTTGTTGTGTGTTTTTTTTTGGCAGTCCAGTGTCTGACACACATGGAAACCCATCACCATGCTTAAGAACCCAAATCAAACTAATGAAAGTTCAATATGGACGGTTTGTGTTTATGCGGTATGGAGTGTGCACTTTCAGCCCAGAGGGACAGACTCTGCTTGCTTATTAATAGAGAGTCTAGGTGAAGATTGGCAAGAGCCAGAGTGTGCATTGGGGTATTGTGGAATTTACTAAGCTAAAACCGCACAATTTTTGCATTCTGGCATTCTGTTGCTTGTCCAGCTGGGTTGCCAAATTCGTTAAGGCTTTGGCTTGCAGCTTTGTGTTTCTGTGTGGAAGTGCTTCAGCATTTATCACAGTATTTAGCTCTGCAGCCTTTGTCCACCAGAAAAAAATTGTGAAAAACAACCTTTACCAACTGCAATGAGCTTGAGGATTTCATCAACATCTGACATGTTGTCCCTACCTTATGATCCAACAGTGTAGTTTCAGAATTTTATTAGTAGTATAATAAAACTGCTTTGAGACCTCTCGACGACGTGATAATGCACTGTATCAAATGCAAGGATTATTATTTTTATTTGAAAATCACGTCAGAATTGTTCCATTAATAGTGTTAAGATTGCAATATCTGTCTCTAATTTTATTTCTTTTTTATTGTTCAGGTTTTTTTTTCAGTTATAATTGGAGCATTTTCTGTGGGTCAAACTTCCCCGAATATTGAAGCACTGGCCACTGCAAGAGGTGCAGCTCATGTGATCTTCAACATCATAGATCATGTAAGGTTTGTTCTTCAGAAGCAGCATCATGGGTACAGTAGTGAGCAGATAGGGGGCTCCTGATCCTAAAGCCCAACCTCTTAACCAGAGAAAAACGTGCAGGAACGATAACTAAAATATACTTTTACTTTAAATAGATACTAAATAGTTAATTGTGATTCGATTTCTTTGCAGCAAATGGTTTTGTGATGATTGGCTCGCGCCAGCTCCTCTGCACCTCAGGCTCTGGCAGCATCAACCTCCATGGTTGCACACTTCAACTCACCGCCAGTCAGGAACCTAAGTGTCTTGTTCAACCCTCAACTGTCTTTTCTTCCCCACATCCAAGCCATGACCCACTCTGCCTTCTCTCACCTCCATAACATCGCCCGACTCCACCACTACCTCACCCCTCAGGCCACTGAAACTTTTGTTCATGCCTTCATCAACTCCAGGCTCGACTATGCAAACGCTCTGCTTGTCGGCCTTCCCAACTCCTCCCTCCATAGACTGCAGATAATCCAGAACTCTGCAGCCCGTGTCCTCTCCCGCACCAAACTCCGTGACCCCATCTCCCCCACTCTCGCCCGACTCCACTGGCACCCTATCCTTCAGAGGATCCAGTTCAAGATCCTGGTCCTCACATACAAAGCCCTCCATGGCCTCGCCCCACCCTACTTCTGTGACCTCCTAACCCCCTACCAACCTGCCTTTTCCCTCCGCTCAGCCGGCTCTGGCATGCTCTACGTGCCCCGACCCACCCGCCCCACCATTGGCGGGAGAGCCGGCAGCCACTCTGCCCCCACCCTCTGGAATTCTATCCCCCAATCACTCCGCCTCACCCCCTCCTTAGCCTCCTTCAAGTCGTGCCTCAAGACCCTCCTCTTCGACCATGCAATCAGTCACCCCACTTCCCCTCCCCTCCCTTCTCCCCCTTGACTCCAGTTTGGGTCTGAAATGCTGTACACTGTCCAGCGCCTTGGGACGTCCTCCCGACGTGAAAGGCACAATAAAATGTAATCTCGTTGTTGTTATTGTTGCAAGGTTCTCACAGATCGTCTAAATTCAGTGCCCGAATACTGTATGGACCTCTAGGATGGTGCTCACCTGTTGACTCTGCACTTTTCTCTCTATCGTAACGCAGAAACCGGCAATCGATAGCTTTTCTGAGAGCGGCCACAAGCTGAATCATATTCAGGGAAATGTGGAATTTCAAAACGTGCATTTCAATTACCCCTCACGGCCTGACATTCAGGTAGGACTGCTTTCACTCGTACTACATACATAGCAAGATTAGTAACTCAGCAATCATTTCACAATATATTAAAATGTATGTATTAATTTTATACTGCGGCAGCCAATTTGTTTATTCCTAATTATTTAATTATTTATTAATAATCCTTGCATTTGATATTGTGCCTTTCATGTCTAGAGGATGTCTCAAAGCTCTTCACTGGATATACTATAAAGTGTAGTGAATATGTATTTTGTAGGTGAAACAGCATCTAATTTGCACACAGCAGTGTCCCACAAACAGCCATGAAGTAAATGACCAATTTTATTTGAGAGATTGCTGGCTAGAAAAAACTATATTGGCCAGGAATGCTCCTTTGAAATGGATATAAATGTAATCATCTCACATCGCAGGCGAAACATTGGACAACTTTCTTTACTCCACATGCCTCTGTTTACCCAGCAGCAAGTAGGATACTGGGTGTTAGTCGATTGGCAGATCGCTTTTCTAGGGATAATAATTCCTTTAAAAAATATACAATAATAAAAATTGGTCACTCAATCAACGACTGTTTGTGGGTTACTGCTGTATGCAATTAGCTGCCGCGTTTTGCCCACAAAATATTCAGTCAATTCATTTTTCAGTATATTCTGTGAAGCGCTTTGAGACGTCTTGAAGATGTGATAAGGCACTACATCGAATGCAAGGATTATTATTATTATAGATCAGTATGTAAAGAGTACAGCTTTATTGATTTTCCCTACAGTAAAGAAGGATATTCCACAATGAAAGCAAAATAGTAGATAAAAGCTTCACTTGTGATTGAAAATTGCTAATGAATAAAGATAATAGCATACCTCTGCTTTATAATAACAACAAATTGCACTTATGTAGCACCCTCCATGCAGGGTAGCTTCTCAGAGCGCTTTACAGTGTCGGAGCCTGACTCCGAGCTGGCGGAGTGTGTGGTGTGGGGGGTGACTGTAAGCATGGTCGAAAAGGGAGGGACTTGGAAAAGGGGAGAGCGCAGGCAAGGCAGGAGGGATTGAGGGAGAGTGTTCCACAGTTTCAAGGCGTAGTGTCTGAAAGCGCGACCTCCAATGGTGGAGCGAAGAGTGCGAGAGACAAGTAGGAGGCCGGTGCTTTTCGAGCGGATGCCCCAGGTGGTAGATTGGAGTGAGGGGGTCAGAGAATTAGTGAGGTGCTAGGGAGTGAATGAATTTGTACACAAGTGTGAGGATCCTGAAGTTGAACCGTTCGGTGATGGGGAGCTTTGAGCTCACGTTCCCAAACTTTTGTTTTATCAATGTTCTAAATGCCCTTCCTTCCCCATGCATTTGCCCATAAAATACAGAGTCGCAACACTTTACAAGATAACCTGTGAAGCGTTTTGAGTCGTCTCAGTGACATGATAAGGCACTATAAAAAATGTAACGATTATTATTATTCTCACTTTGCTGAAATTAAGACTCAGGATCGCAGTACAGTTATTGTGCACCACTTTGTCCTCTTTCTCACCTAAAATCTATGGTGTATTGATTTCCAACTCTAGGTTGGAATTGTCCTGCTTCTTCTGCTCTTTTCAATTCTCATGATGTTTGCACTATGGGTCTCCAACCTTCATTTGGAGTTCTCAGTATATAAAATAAATCTGCTTCCACTTCAGGATTGAACACATACTTGAATCTGTGAGTTTACTGGGAAAAGCTTGTAAATCAACGAATAAATGTTTTAAATAATTAAACTTTTTGTCCTAAGTAATTAAACTTTTCATCATGCTTCATTTCCAGCATGGCATCCTTTTGCCTTGTAGTGCTATCAGTCTTACGTTTTTACTGTATTTGGCCTTTGTGTCATTGAAAGAGAAATTCATACAATAACTTCTAAATGTGTCATCTTCAAAATGATCTGAAGAACATGAATGTCAATAACTCCACTCAGTGCTTTATTCATCTTCCTTCTCTGTTGCCTTTGTACAGATATTGAAAGGACTATCCCTGAAGGTCAACAGTGGGCAAACAATTGCCTTGGTTGGTAGCAGTGGGTGTGGAAAAAGCACGACCATCCAGCTTTTGCAGAGATTTTACGACCCTGAACAGGGGATGGTAAAGCACCAAATCTTTGATAGTACTCCTTGTGTCAAAAAGACCGTAGGCAAAAACTGAATGAATTCTGACGCCTTCATTTTTCATTATGGAGATGATATTTTGTATTCGGTGGGGAGTGCTTCATTTCTTGGCAGATCTGAAGCTGAGAAAAAAACAGAGATGTGACAACAACTTGCCTTTATATAGTGCCCTTCTCGTGAGATAGCATACGGAGCACTGATATTACACTATAAAAATAATAATCCTTTGCTTTGATATAGCGTCTTATCACGTCGTTGATACATCTCAAAGCTCTTCACAGAATATACTGTAAAGTGAATTGACTGTAAAGTTTGTGGCCGAATGCGGCAGCCAATTGCAAACAGCAGTGTCCTACAAACAGTCGTGGATTGAGTGACCAAATTATTATTATTTATGTAATTTTTTTGAAAGGGTTTATTACTCCTAGAAAGCAATCTGCCAATCGAGTAACAACCAGGTTCTTACTTACTGCTGGGTAAACAGAGGCATGTGGATTTCCTAGTAGTTGCCTCGGGAAACAACAATTTACGTTTATATAGTTTGTGCCTTTCAGACTGGGAGGACATCTGAAAGTGCTTCACTCAACTGACCCAAAGTTAGGGGTTGGGGGGGAACAGGGGGAAGGGAGGGGAATGTGGCAGTCCAAGAGATGAGTTGTAAGGCAGGTTTTTAAAGGCGGAAAAGCAAGGTGGAGGGACTCTAAAAATGGACATCTGGATGGAAGGAAACTACTAGTGTAAAAGCAATACTATGTATTCAGTGGCTTTGCTCATGGACAGCTAACATGTTTAGAATGTTGGTTGTGTTAGTGCATATAAGTACAATCACAAATTCATAGAGTTCATTTTATTGTTTATTTATTTGTTTATTTATTTTGAGCTTGTTTATTTATTTGGATTCACGTGGACAGAAATTTGCAGGTACGTGAATTTACTCTACAAATCTGTGATTCCTGAAATATTAATTTGCAATGTACGATTCCTACAGATTACTCTGGATGGACAGGATATTCGATCCTTGAACATTAAGCATCTCAGGGAATTCATTGGGGTTGTGAGTCAGGAGCCTATTCTATTTGCCACTTCTATAGCTGAAAACATCCGCTATGGGCGTGAAGACGTTACCATGACAGAAATTGAAGCGGCTACCAAGGAGGCTAATGCCTATGATTTCATTATGAAATTGCCAAATGTAAGTGTCACATTTTACGTTTGTACTATAGATTTTATATTTTACATTTTACTATAGATACAAGCACAGCAGCTTGCTTTATCGCTAGCTGGTATCACCAAGCATGATTCCTGGATGTTCTACTCTCCTTTCTCTAGAGGACTATTGATGTTGCAGAATTAATCAGATCAGGGATGCTTGTAAATGACATCATCCTTCTTGCTCTGTGTCTAGTCAATTGGATTTAGAAACACAGATCCTATTGCTTCCTAATCTAAAGCCAATTTGGAAAATTGGAATGGGTACATTAGGTCGGACAAATGTTCAACTCTTCCTGAACTGTTATGATAATAATACTGCTTGCATGTGTTAAAGCAACTTTCACATCCGGAGGGCATCTCAAAGAAGTGAGATTCACGCGATTTACTGGAAAGGGTAATGGCTTTCTTGTGTAGGCGATTGTGGCAGCCAATTTGCACGCAACAATGCCCTACAAACAGCCGTGAAGTGAATGACCAATTTTGTCTTTAATGTTCACTTGGACAGGCAGACAAGATTTTTACTGTCTCAGCTGAAGCACGGCACCTCCAACAAAGTACCACTCCCCAACACTATATTGGAGTATCAGCCTATAGCATCTGAGTTCAAAGCTTCAAATAGGGGCTTGAACCCACAATCTTCTATCTGAAGAGGCAAGAGTTCTTCCAACTAAGCCAGGCTGACACCTATGTTAGTTACTGTGACACTAGTATAAAGAGATCACTTCCAGTTACTAATCTATTATGGGATGTTGGACCTATTCATATTATCAGGATCAGCATGGCTCTACCACTGCATACCTTTGGGAAATACATTCTGACCCAATTTACTTTCAGATCCTAGTTCCCTTGGGTTTGTGTAATGTATTTCCTCTTCCTGGAAGAATTCCTCATAAGCGACTCAGATCCCTTCTTAAGAAATTAAATTTGCAATGTGTTCAACCTCATTGTCAGTCTAGTATTTCAGAGGAATATGCACTAGGAGTACTGGCCTACAGAAATGTAAGGAAATTGTAATGTATGTACATTGTGCATGATTTTTTTTTACATTGCATATTACATTTCTACGTCACTCAAAATAAGCTGTGCTAATGTTACAAGATAAAAGTCAAGAGAAATATAGATTTATTTCATCCTTCCAGAATACCCAGCCTATCATCTTCCCATTACAGCAGAAGGCTGTTAAAATAGTCAAGGGTGGTCTCTATCAACCTTTCTGGTTGATTATCCTATGTACATAGATATACTTCAGAAATGTAATAACAGCACTGTAATCAGGTAACTTCGGGATTTGCTAACTTTGCTCACTGAGCTGGAGTTTACCCTCTGAATGGGAATAATCTCCCAGTCATTGTTGACAGTAAAAGACTTCAGAATTTTTTTTTTAAAAATTGGTATTCGAACTCTCTTTCTCTTACCTCTTCATCTTTTAAATAGGGATCTTTATCTTATCTTTAACTGTGTTCCTAAATCTCGTTATAGGATTTTTCAACCATGGTTGGTGAAAGAGGTGCCCAGCTCAGCGGAGGTCAGAAGCAGAGGATAGCCATTGCTCGCGCTCTGGTACGCAATCCCAAGATATTGCTGCTGGATGAAGCCACATCAGCCTTAGACGCTGAGAGTGAAGCGGTTGTTCAGGAAGCACTTGATAAGGTAACTGTGAGATTACAGCATTATTTTCATGTTACAAAGTCAGCCGAGGCCCCAAAATTCAGCCAATTGTGATCTGAAAGCGCTTGGGACAACCTCCTGATGTGAAAGGTCAGATATGAATGTAATTTGTTGTTGTTGTAAGATCTTTAAAGTCAAATATTTAAGATAATGCAGAACTCTGGAAAATTATTTAATTCAGTCTTAAATAGGAGAGCAGATCTTTTTAAGAACCATAAAAAACATTTTAAAAACTCATAGAGCTTTAAGAATTTTCCACAATTCTACACCATCTTAAATAGTGAGACATAATGGTCTACAGGCTAAGTTTAGGTGGAATTTCAACCCTCTAATGTTCATAGTGAAGAACATTTTTCTAATGCCTGATCCTGTTGAAACATTGCAAATCATTTCACAGGAAATTAGAGTGACGTGTAGGGAATGTTTTTAGAGACAAATGCAGGGATCATTTTCAACGAGCAAGACTCACAAATAGCTATGGTGAATAACTATTTTTTGCGGGGGGTGGTGGGGAGGGAGTTGTTGGCCAGGACACCTGGAGAAACTCCTTTTCTTTTTTAGTAGTGCCAGGGGCTCTTTAACAGGCAAGCAGGACCTCGGTTTAACATTTCATCTAATTGACATCATCTCCAACAATGCAGTGCTCCTCCAGCAATGCAATGCTCCCGTTGCACTGGAGTATCAACTGAGACTGTGAGCTCAAAGACCCAACATAGAGCTGAAATAGGCAACCTTCTAACTCAGAGATGAGAGTGCTACCAACTGAGCCAAGCTTGCACTTTGTTTTGTTAATTAACACAAGGAAAATATCATTAAACCTTTACCCTACAGGTTCGAAAATTAACAAATTCCGAGAGAAAACAGATTACAAAGATTATCTTCACCATGACAAGGAGGCATAGTCTTAAAATTAGAACCAGGCCATTTAAGAGTGAAATCAGGAAGCATTTTTTCACTCACAGGGTGGTAGAAATCTGGAATTCTCTCCCCCAAAAGGCCATGGATCCTGGATCCATCCATACCTATAAGAGTGAGGCTGATAGATTTTTGTTAGGTGCAGGGTATTAGGGATATGGAGAGAAAACGGGAAATTGCAAATGAAAGGATTAGTTGAGGTACAGATCAGCCCATGATATAATTAAATGGTGGAACAGGCTCGAAGGGCTGAATGGCCTCCTCCTGTTCCTATGTTCTGTGAAGCGATGTGATAAGGCGCTATAGCACACCTTTGCGCGGGGTAGCGTCCTGGAACCTTTCACAGTGGTGGAGTCCTGACAACAAGCCAGGGGAGAGGGAGTGGGGAGGTGACCGTAAACACGATCAAAAAAGGTCTTTGATTTGAAGGTGGAGCGATTGAGGGAGAGAGTCCAAGAGTTTTGGGGCATAGTGGCTGTGGCACGACCACTGATGCTGGAACGGAGGGGACAAGAGACAACAACAACAACAACTTGCACTATACAGCGCCCTCCACGCAGGGTAGCCTCTCAGAGTGCTTAACAGTGGCAGAGTTTCAGTGGTAACAGGAAGCAGGAGCCAGCCAAGTGGAGGCAGTGGGTGGTGGAGGAGGGGGTAAGCAGGACGGATAGGTAGGGCGATGTGAGGGAATAAAGTGATTTGAAAACGAGTGAGAGGATCTTGAAGTCGATCCATTCGGTGATTGGGAGCCAGTGGAGCCTGGCAAGGACTGGTGTGATAGGGGCACGGAGTTTTGTTTGGGAGAGTATCCGGGCGGCAGAGTTTTGAATTCATTGGATTTTGTGTATGGTGAAGCTGGGGAGACCAGCGAGGAAGGCATTAGAATGACATCCCAACATTACAAGCAGTTGTTGGCCAGTTTGGATTTGACTCTTCCAATGGGGGGTAGGCTTTTCACAGATACTGTGAGTGCAAGTCCCACAGTTGCTAAGACTGGATATCAACATTTCCTAACACAATACACCTACGATGAAATATCGTTCTCTAGACGACTTCTGAGAGGATTACACCCAGTGTTTTGATACCAGTAGAAATACCTCATCAGAAATATAGATTGCATCTTTACAGTACTAAAGATTGTTTCAAAGAGCCTCACATTTATCACCTTTCAATCCACATTAATGCAAGGGAAAGGTACCGCGAGAGGAGGCAGAATGTTCAGGCACAAGCTTTGAACTTTCCCAAGTGTAATCGCAAATTGTGCCAAAAGCAATGAGGAACTAGTATGCTTTGCAATCTCAGCCTATTTTGTGTTTTCTTGTATATTCTCTTAAAGGTTCGGAAAGGTCGCACTACCATAATAATCGCTCACCGCTTGTCAACAATTCAGAATGCAGATGTCATTGCAGGACTAGAGAATGGTTTGATCACAGAGCAAGGAAGCCACGAAGAATTGATGAAAACAAATGGCATCTATCATACTTTGGTCACCACGCAGGTACTTTATATTGAGTAAATATTCTTGTTCAGGTCTTGCGTGTTCATATTGAAAATTTAATCAGAACTTGTATCGAATAATGCAACAAAACCCAATGCTAACCTAGTGCAATTTAAAAGAGAGCCCAGTGAATTACGTCATTATCTGTTTCCTTTTAAGACATTTAAGAATGAAGATGACGAGATCCTTGACGGAAGTGATGATGAACTCAACTCAATCACCACACGAAAGTCACTGCGAAGACGGTCAGCAAGACGTAGTAGCAAAAAGATGAAAGTAGCTGAAGAAAAATTTGATGTGGCTGTGGTTCCAGAGGTGCGGGTTCGCTTTAGTCAGGAAAACTTTACATGTGAAAAATGCAACATGCAACGTGATAGTTATCACTGGTGATGATGATTATATTACCATTTTGTCGAAGGTGGGCAGGGGGATAATAATCAGCAACTGGTTTCATTCCAATTTTCAATCATGTGATACTTATCACATCACATGTTGTATTTCTCTCCCACCACTCCCCCCCCCCCAACTACCAATATACTTGTAATGACGTTAGCAGTTCAATTTATGCAAATAATTTTATCGAACATTGAGGTGTGTTGTGGTATGTACTGGGTTAGTTGTAGAGGCATTACATCTATGCTCAGCACGCAGTGTCTAGGAATGAAAAAGGCAATCAGTAATGATGACATAACTCATTGCTGTAATTCCTCCCTTTGGAAAACAACCATGTGTGAAGATACCAATGAACATCCTGCTGAAACTTACACATGAAGAATATTAAGCTTGGGTGAGATTCAGGAGAATCTCTTTGTGGAAAGATATCTCAATGGGAGTCACAACCTAGAGTTAGGAAGGATTTCTTTTTGGAAAAAAGTCTTTCTTCAGGTATACAATTGAGCTGAGTAAAAAAAAGACTACTGTTCCATTTCACTTGAACTGGTCACCCTTAGAATGAACTTCAAAAAGAAAAAGAAGTTTCTTGTGGTGTCCTGACCAACAATCCCCCAGATAAAATTGGTCATTCATTTTGTGGCTGTTTGTGGGACTTTGGTGCGTGCAAATACAAAATCACTTGCACTTCACTGTGAAGTGCTTTGAGAAGTCTCAATGACATGTAAAGCTCTCTGAGATGCTGTCCCATGTGAAGGGTGCTATATGAATGCAAGTTGTTATTGTAAAGGCACTATAAGAAATGCAGTGATTATTATTGTCAGAAATCTGAAGTCTGCTCTGTTCTTTTAGGATGAAAAAGTTCCCAACATTTCCTTCTTTAAAGTTCTTAAGATGAACAAGACTGAGTGGCCTTATATGGTTTTAGGAACCTTTTGTGCAGTTATTAACGGTATCATCCAGCCTGCTTTTGCCTTGATATTTTCAGAGATCATTAAGGTAAGTTCACAGTTCACCAATCCATGAATGAAATAATCATAACCTTAACAGGAAGAAATAAGTAAACAAAGCAAAATAAATGTTATGATTTTAAAAATTGTGTTTCAGAATAGTAATGAGGTATTCAATTACTTTCCAGGAGAAGGAAACTACTGTCTTTCTTGGAACTTACTATTATGCTGTGTGCAAGGGAAAAAGGCCAAGAGAATTAATAAGTGTTAAATGTGGAGTCCTGTAGCTTAGTGGTTAGAGCGCTCGTCTCTCATGCAAGAGGACCTGAGTTCGATTCCCAGGCAGGACGAAGTGTTAGGCAAGTTTCCTTACTCCACACACCTCAGTTTACCTAGCAGTAAGTAGGAACCTGATTGTTAGTTGATTGGCTGATCGCTTTTCTCGGGGGTAATAATCCTTTTATCAAAAATAATAATAATTTTGTCACTCAATCCACGATTGATTGTGAAACACTCTGTGCGCAATTGGCTGCCATATTTTCCCCACAAAATATACAGTTAATTCACTTTACAGTATATTCTGTGAAGCATTTTGAAACTTCTCGAAGTTTGCTCTTTTGTTTCCCCCTCAAGGCTCACACTTGTTCATTATCTCTGTTTTTCATGAGTTGCTCAGAAAATGTATCTGTTTGAAGATATGTATTGGAATATGGATCCTCACCCTTGTCCTCAAATCCTCCACTTTCCTCACCATCTACCTCTCTGACCTCCTCTCTCCTCAAAACAGTGCCCGTTGCCTTTGTTCCACTGGGTCTGACCTCCTCCTTGTCCCCCGAGTCCTCAGGTTCACCCTCAGCGGCAATGCCTTCAGCAACTATGCTCCGAGGCTCTGGAACTCCCTTCCTCACTCCCTTCGCCTCACCCCCTCTCTTCCTATTTTCAGGTCTCTGCTGAAGACCTTTCTCTTCGACTGCGCCTTTGGTCACCTTCCCACCCCTCCCCCTGGCTCAGCCCCGGGATCCGTTACTGTGAAGCGCTCTGAGACGTCGGCCGGCGTGGAGGGAGCTATATAAATCCAAGTTGTTGTTGTTAAAATCAGGAATGTTTCAACAATGTGGAGCTCCTGAATAAAAAACACAATAATTTTGTTAAAACTTAACCATAACTGCGCCGTAGATGATTGAGTTACTGACAAATGCAACAGCCTTTGTACGCACAGCGAGGCTGGTAACATCATTGGGAAGTCAGATCACTGGTGCTTCTTGTGCGTAGCTCACTTACACAAAATTCAGGAAGTGACATTATGGCACCCAGTGGCCTGGAATGGGATGTGGACTGCCCTGCCAAGAAAGGTGGTTGAGGGCAGAGTCCAATGTGGGTTTCAAGACAGAAATAGACAAGTATAGAAAAGAGAAAGGCTTGATGGGATAGGGAATGGGGATAGGGCAGGACAATAAGATTGATTGGACAGCTTGCTTTGAGAGCCAGTGCAGACTCGATGGTCAAATGATTCTGTGCTATAAATCTCTGTTTCTGGATTTTTCATTTGGCCATTTTCACACTTTGTTTTAATGCAGATTATGAACCCAAATCATCGCATTGTAAAAAAGGTGCCCTGTACAATCTTCAATTTGAAACCAATTATCTGTAAGTTTCTTTTAAAAACTACAGAAAACTGGCTTCAAAGTTGAGACTGAATTCTGCATGCCCTGAAATACTAATAGAATAAATCTAGGCCTCGGCTGAATTCCTCCTCCTATTACTATGTCTAAGCAGTTGAGGAGCTATGCAGCTATAACTGCTCTCAGGCTTTTTTTTCAGTATTGAGTTATTAATTAATCAACTTTGTCACTGTGTAACAATCACCTCTTCCTATTTCTCTTGTACAGGTTTTTGCTCAAACCGACAAGGATGCTGTTCGCACTGATAGTACATTTTTTTCCCTTCTGTTCCTTCTACTAGGGGGTGTCGCCTTCATTACATTCTTTCTCCAGGTAAATTTAAATTAATAGCTCACTTTAGTTTAAGTTTAGTAAGTTTCGTCAGTTTAATGTCTCATCTGAAGAACCTCCCTCAACTCCAACTTTTGCTCTCTGAAAAAACCTGCACTGATGTGACAGAGTAGACCTTGAACTCAAGCCTTGTATCAATAACCTTCGGACTCAGAAGTGAGAGTGCTACCAACTGAGCCAAGCTGACAACAGTGGTAATCCATTGAGACCATTGTAAACTGCAAGAGCAAAGACTGATTAGTCTCTGAATGCTCTGTCTGAACCCAGGATGAAATCACTTGCTGTGATTCTTTCCCTCACTGCCAGTCAAAGAATATAGTGAAAAGGCTCTATATAAAAGATCTGCTATGTTATAATTAAATGGTGGAACAGGCTTTAAGGATTGAATGGTCTTCTCTTATTGTAACCCCTGTCAGTGCTGTCAGATCTTTTCTGCTACTGACTGGTAGAATGATGATGCAATATCATACAGACATACAACAACAACTTGGGTTTATATAGCACCCTCCACACAGGACAATACAATACTAATTTGCATTTATGTAGCGCCTTCATGCCTATTGAACTAAACTAAACTAAACTAAACTAAACTAAACAGTCAATTCGCTTCACAGTATATTCTGTGAAGCCCTTTGAAACATCTCAACAATGTGATAATGTGCCATATCATAGAATAGAATCATAGATTATTGCAGCACAGAAGGAGGCCATTTGGCCCATCATACCTGTACCGGCTCTTTTGGAAGAGCTACCCAATCAGTCCCACTACCCCCTCTTTCCCCATATCCTTGCAGATTTTGTCTCACTGTCTCTGATACTTGTAAGTGGGGAACCTAGAGAGGAATTGATCAGGGTTTCTATCAGCATCTTAGGAGAACAAAACACAGCTAATATATTATAATTATTGACTGAGCTCTACAAATTCTTTAAATACCACAACATAAACATAAATAGGGATTATTAGATTTTGTGTAATACTGTGGGGACACTGGAAAATTGCCCTGAGTTTACACTACAGGAGGAAGCCCATTTGGCCCATCATTTCAGTTCTAATGTTAACTGTCCCCACTTGGTATTATCCAGTTCCCCAGCTTAGACAAAGATTCAATAGTATAAGTCCTCATCTGTTGCTTTGGGGATATTTCTGTCTTTTTCTTTTCCTTTAGAATTTATTATGTTTAATCTCCTATAAGCAATCTATGAGAATGTAAATATTACAGGTTAATTGGTCCAGTGCTTATCCTTCACTCCATTATTGGTGACCAAGCTTTCAGCCACCACTGTGCTCTGAAACTCTCTTCCAAAGTGACTTTGCTATCTCTCTCCCTTCCTTCGAAACATCCTAAAAACAAATCTCTTCGACCATGCATGTTTTGGTCAACATTTTTAAATACAATTAGTGGACGCACTACATTTATCCAGTATTTTGAGACATGCTTTTATATGAAAGGCTCCATATAAATATAAAATGCAGTTAGCATGTTTGATGGGATGAACCTTTCTTCTTTTAACTTCACACCTCCAATTCTCCTCTGACACTGTCTTTTTAGTGTAGGTTTGTCCCATAAAAATGTTCTCCTGAACCGCACCATATTGAACGAGATACGAATATTCCTTTTTGAAGCCCCACTCTTCTCACATTATCTTTTGACAGGGCTTCGCTTTTGGTAGATCCGGAGAGATACTGACAATGAGATTACGAGACAAGGCTTTTAAGGCAATGATAGGACAGGTAAGAACAAAGATCCTTACAGATCAGCTGGTTTCTGCTCTTTATTGTTTTGAAGCATATAAATAGTTTAGAATTTCAGAGTAATTTATTTAATTTTAATCTGGGTACTGAATAGTGCGGTACTTTAGTGATTAGAGTACTTGCCTTGTAAGCGAGAGGACCTAGGTTTGATACCTGGCAAAGCAAAACATTGAGCAAGTTTCCTTATTCCACACTCCTCTGTTTGTAAGTAGGAACCTGGTTGTTAGTCAACGGGCGGATCGCTTTTCCAGGGGTAATAATCCCTTCAAAAGAAATAAAATAAATTATAATAATAATTTGGTCACTCAATCCATGACTGTTTGTGGGACAATGCTGTGTGCAATTAGCTACCACAATTTGCCCACAAATACAGTCAATTCACTTGACAGTATATTCTGTGAAACGCTTTGAGACATCTCAAAGATGTGATAAGATGCTATATCAAATGCCAGGATTATTATTATAATATATAAATTATAAATTATAATATAAATTATAATAATTTATAATAATAACTTTTCCTTGTATTTGATATGGCACCTTTCACATTGGAAGTATGTCTCAAAGACCCTCACCAGATATACTGTGAAGTGTAGTGAGGTTGCATTTTGTAGGTGAATGCTGTAGTCAATTTGTGTACAGCAATGTTCTACAAATAACAATGAAGTGAGTGACCTATTTTATCTGGGGACTTGTTGACCAGAACGCCGGGAGAAACTCCCTTCTGTTTTCGAACAATGCTATGGGGTCTTTAACAGCCACCTGACCAGAATATCGCTTTGCCGTCTCATTATATTATAACTGTTGCTATTTGTTGGCAAAAGAAGTGCACGCATGAGGAAAGCCAATTCAATTTATGTTTATGTATAACTTTGTTTCAGGATATTCACTGGTTTGATGATCCTAAAAACAGTACTGGAGCTTTGACGACCAGGCTTGCGACTGAGGCCTCTCAAGTTCAAGGGGTAGGAGTTCAAAGAATTTACAGTTCAGTTTATTGATTAGAATTTGAGCAGCCATATTTGCTGAAGGGTGAACTGTAAAGAAATCTCGGCCTGAAAGGAAGTTTACATCTCGCGTGGTTCCCTGTCTATGACAGGATCAAAGATCCTCATCTTCACATACAAATCTCTTCATGCTAGCGCCTCCCTACCACTCTCACCTGCTTGTACCCTACTCTTCTGCCCACCCCCTTCGCTTAGCTAACAGCATCATTGGCTGTGCCTTAAACCACTATGCTCCTAACCTCTGGAACTGCCTCAAACCTCTACTTGGCCCGCTCTTATCTTTAAATCTCAAGACCTACCTCTTCGACTGCACCTATGGTCAACACGCCCTTCTTCCTTGCTCGGCATACACTGTGCAATCCAATCCACTGAAACACTACCTGTGTGAAGCGAGTTATATAAATGCAATGTTGTTGTTGTCGTGGACCCTTAGCTCTTTACAGTACATCTGAATTCCTCATAACAATAAGAGGGCAGTCAGGGAAGAAATTAAAATCTTATGGTATCCAAAACGGTTGAAAAAGAACAAACAGCAATCGACATATTAAATGACGATTCACACCTTCATCACATCTACACCAAACTACTCCAATCCCCTACTTGCTGGACTCCCCAGCAACTCTCTACACAAGCTGTAGACTATCCAGGATTCTTAATGTGAATTGTGACAATAACAACAACAATTTATATGTGTATAGCGCCTTTCACATCAGAAGGTCATCTCAAGGCGTTCACCTCTCCTGAACCAGGATCTGTAATCCTATCACCCCCATCCTTGCTTGGCTCCCATCTCACAGTAGATCGAATTCAAGATCCTTGTACTTGCATTTAAACCCCTCAATGGACTTGCCTCACCTCTACAATTGCTCCAACTATGCCCTCCTCTCAGCGAACGCTGCCCTGTACTATCCCCTAGATAAGCATTGGTCATTCACTTTGTGGCTACTTGTGGGATCTTGCTGCGTGCAAATTGGCTGCCCCATTACCTACAAGTTACATTGTCACTATACTTTACAGTAATTCTTGTGAAGTGCTTTGAGATATTTCAATGACATGATGCAGCGCAATATCAAATATAAAGAATATATTTTAATTTGTGAGATTATTTGTGCGGAAAAGGATTTGCACATTGTGAATCCCCGAGGTGTCTTAGTCCAACATTCAGTATCGACTTCTTTGAGGTTAGACAAAGGAGATTCCTGGCACCCAACTGGACATCAATTGGTGTCTAAAAAGGAATTCCAGAGGGTCTGCCTCAGACGCATTTTGAATATCTGTAAGATTTGCTTTTTTATAAATACATCTGCAAATATTCCACATTAGACCCTCGTAGTTACATGAATACCCAGTGGAGCCAGGTGGAGTCTTGTAGCTCAGTGGTTAGAACAGTCGCCTCGCAAGCGAGAGAACTTGGTTCGATTCCCGGCATGGCGAAATGTTGGGCAAGTTTCTTTACTCCACATACCTCTGTTTACCTAGCAGTAAGTAGGAACCTGGTTGTTAGTTGATTGGCAGATCGCATTTCCGGGGATAATAATCCTTAAAAAAAAATAATAATTTGGTCACTTAATCCACGACTGTCTGATTCAATTGGCGAGCAGAGGGCTCAGCAGAGTGAGGAGGGAATTGAGTGAGGGGGAACAGAGTGAGAATTCTGTTAAGGAATTTGGTGAGAGTGGGAATTCTAGATCAAGAGGGAACTAGAGAGCAAGAGAGAACTCTTTCTTTTAGCACAAGAGTGGGGATTGTTTCTTGAGCAAGAGAGAACTTTTCAAGCAAAACAGGTAATCAAGCCAAATTTGCAGTTAGTCACAGGCCAAGTAATAGGGATTAGCTAATTAGTTAATTATTTGCTGACCAGTTGAAACTGGTTGTGTCAGAGGCCTATATAAAGTGGAGAATTTTGAGAGCCTCACTGGAACAGAGAGTCCAGCAGAGTGAGAATTACGTTAAGGAATTTGGTGAGAGTGGGAATTTGGTGCAGTGGGGGAAGAAGGTGCAGGTGAGAGAATATTTGCCATCCAGACCCAGGTTTTGAATGGATTCATCTGCATTAACTGCAAGCTGGCAGGTTCACTCAAGGCTGAAGTGGTCAGCCTTAGTCAGCAGCTTGTATTAGGGAGGGAGAAGTGTTTACTAATGATGTATTAGAGGAGACCTTGCTATGAGACACAGTAGGAGACGAGTCCCCGGTGCCTAGAGGAGGGGATTGGGTCGCTGTTAGGAAAGGGGCCAGAAATTGTGCTCGGCTAATGGAGCAGGAGCAGACATCCCTGGTGTTCTCCAATAGTTTCTCTTCTCTGGAGAGATGATGTGGAAACCCAAGTGATGGCTAAGACAGGCAAGGGAGTGCTGTGCACCGAGGCAATCCAGCAGCCTGCCAGTAAAGGAGGGAAGAAGAGAAAAAATAGCAGACAAGTTGTGATATTAGGGGATTAAACTATTTGGTTCATGGATTGCATTCTGTGCAAACCAGATCCAGAAAATAGAATGGTAAGTTGCCTACCAGGTGCACAGGTTGAGGAACTGATACCTTGGGTTGACCAAATGCCACAGGGAGCAGGTGAGAAACCAATTGTAGTTGTTCATGTGGGAAGAAATAACATAGATAGAAGTATACCAGATGTCCTTCAGGCTAAATTTAGAGTATTAGGAAGGAAGTTAAAGGCAAAGACTTCAAATGTAGTATTTTATGAAATACTACCTGTACCATGTGCTAGTGAGGAAAGACAAGAGGGTAATTAAGCAGATCAATGCATGGCCAAGGCATTGGTGTAGGGAGTCAGGCTTTCGTTTCCTCAAACAACGGGGTTCCTTTTGGAATAGAGGGCATCTATATGGGCGCCACCTAAACAAAATGGGGTGGAGGTGTTGACAGGCAGGTTAGATAATTTAGTTAGGGAGTGTTTAAACTAGGCACAGGGGTGGTTGCGATAGGTGTAAGAGAGCACCTGAACCGATTAGGAAAAACCTTAAGGTGTAACAGTGTAACAGGTCTAACTCCAAAGGTTGGTGAAAAAGAAACAAAAAAATGTGTATAAAGTAAATGGGAAAGGCAAAAAACAATGGAGCTGTACTTGCATTAATGCAGAAAGTCTGACAAACGAGATGTGTGATCTGGAAGGTCTTGTAGGTGGTGATAGATTGGACATCATTAGCATAACAGAGACATGGTGGAATGAATCCAATCAATGGGATACCCATCTGGAAGGTTATAAACTGTTTAGGGGGACTATACTGGGAGAAGAGGAGGTGGCGTGGCACTATATATAAGCTCCAGTATTGAGACACAAGTGAGAGAGGATATAAAAAAGGAAACCTGTCCAGAATAGCAAAACCAGAGGACACGGCCTGTGATTGAAGGGGTGTAACTTCAGAACGAATCTACGCAAACACAATTTCAGTGAGCGAATAGTGAACCTGTGGAACAAGTTCCCTAGGGAGACGGTTGAAGCAGGAAGGGTTGATCCTTTGAAACACAGATTATAGTTTTCTTTTAGGAAATTACATCATAAGACCATACGAGTAGGCTGTTCGGCCCCTTGAGCCTGCCCCGCCATTTCATAAGATCTTGGCTGATCTTCTAACCTCATTCTATTTACCCGCCCTATCCCCATATCCCTTAATCTCTTTATCCTTTAGAAATATTTCAATCTCAGTCTTGAATATGTTCAAGGACTGAACATCCACAGCCTTCTGGGGTAGAGAATTCCACAAATTTACTACCTTCTGAGTGAAGTAATGTTTCCTCAACTCAATCAAAAAGGCTGACCCTTAATCTTGAGACTATGACCCCTAGTTTTAGATTCTCCAATCAGGGGAAACCATCTCATAGCGTCTACCCTGTCAAGACCCTTAAGAATCTTATAGGTTCCTATAAGATCACCTCTAATTCTTCTATATTCTAGAGAATATATGCCTAGTTTACTCAACCTATTCTCATAGGTCAACCCCCTCATCCCAGGAACCAATCCAGTGAATCTATGCTGCACCCCCTCTAAGGCAAATATGTCATTTCTTAAATAAGGAGACCAAAACTGCACACAATATTCTAGATGCGTTCTCACCAAGGCCTTATACAACTGCAGCAAAACTTCCCTACTCTTGTACTCTAGCTCTTTCGCAACAAACGCCAACATGACAATAGCCTTCCTAGTCGCTGTACCTGCATACTAACTTTTTGTGACTGGTGTACAAGGAACACCCAAATCCCTCTGAACACTAACAGTACCCAGTCTCTCCCCCTCTAGAAAATAATCCGCTTTTCTATTTTTACTACTTAGGTGAATAACTTCACACTTCCCCACGTTATACTCCATCTGCCACCTTATTGCCCACTCACCTAGCCTGTCTATTTCCTTTGCATTCTTCCTGTGTCATCCTCACAGCTTACTCTCCCACCTATCTTTGTATCGTCCGCAATTTAGATATGCTAAGTTCTATTTCCTCATCTAAATCATCGATATACACTGTAAATAATTGAGGCCCAAGCACTGATCCTTGTGGCACTCCACCAGTCACATCCTGCCAATCTGAGAAGGACCGGTTTATCCCTACTCTCTTTTCTTCCTGTTAGCCACTCTCCAATCCATGCTAATATAGTACCTTTAATTCCATGGGCTATAATCTTATGCAACAACCTTTTATGAAATATAGTGCATAGGTTAGTTAGGAACATATGTGCATGCAACTGCCAGAAAGGTGGAAGGCGAACTAGATGGATCTTGCTTGGTCTGTTCTCGTCTAGCATTTCTTATGTTCTCATGTTACTGCTGTGAGCAATTGGCTTCTGCGTTTTGCCCACAAATATACAGTAAATTAACTTACAGTGTATTCTGTGAAGCGCTTTGAGATGTCTAGAAGGCATGAAACGCGCTATATCAAATGCAAGGATTATTATTACCCACCGCAGAACAGATAAACCCGCATAAATTGCATCAGTGAGGTCCATAATATTTAATTTACACAATTTACACAAAGTATGATTTATGAAAAATCGGATTTTATATGCCTAACGCATAACAAATACATCTGTACAATGTACCTATCCTCGTACAGAAAACGTGTATGATGAACGGCATGAACTCTTACAAAGAACTGTTAACACTGAATTATTTCATGTATTGAAATTTACCACACTGTAGTGTTTTAATTGTATGTGGTAATTTATTAATGCAGCCAGGTACGTGTTAGGAGTAGGGGTTGAATTCTAGGACCTATATGTTAATGATGCTCCCAAAATCCTGGAATTGCAACCCCTAGTTGGGAGATGATTTCCATTAGGATTTACATTATTTGGGATCAAGAAATCATTTGACGTTTCTGTTTATCCGACCTGTAAAATCTGGCAAGTGCAAAGAAATCAAAAGTATTTTTTCGAAGGAAAATAAATGGGACTTGGGTGCATGTACAACTTAAGCAATTATATGGCTTACAATGAGATAACTTGTGTGAGTTCACCAGTATTGTGTTTACTTGCAGGCTACTGGTTCCAGACTTGCTATAGTTGCACAGAACGTTGCAAATTTAGGATGTGCGATTATCATTTCCTTTATCTATGGCTGGCAGCTGACGCTACTGATCTTGGGCATTGTTCCCATCCTGGCCATATCAGGACTGATACAAATGAGAATGATAGCTGGGCATGCTCACCAGGATAAGGAGGAGCTGGAAACTGCCGGGAAGGTAGGTGATTTATTTTTGTCCTTGGTAAAGATGCCATTTTGATTTGAATTATAAGCTAAGGCCCTGTTTTTCCTATTCAAACTTTATCAAGTCTATCCTTCAGCTCCTCTAACTCTGATCTCCTGCTTGCTCTTCAGTCTTCTGTCCCACCATCAGTTGCCCCCACTCTCAGGAACTCTCTCCCAAAATCCCTCTCATTTGCTTCACTTCACTCATTTCATGGCTGTGTGTGGGATATTGCTGAGCATAAATTGGTCGCTTTCATTTACAAAATACAGTCACTGTACTTTTATAGAGCAGTTTGAGACATCCTCCTGATATGAAAAGACCTCTACCAAATGCAATTATTATTATATTTATTTTATTTAGGCCTTCTCTACCTGTTTCAAAACCCTCCTCTAAAAGTATTGTTTTAATCTCGTCTAGTCTTTGGTCAGCATTGTCAAATCCTGGCTTCATCATGCTCATGATCCACATCATCTTTGTAAAGTAGTTTGAGATACAATCTAGCATGAAAGGTACTATAATAAGTGTAAGCTGCTAATAGTATGACTAATCTACCTAAATAAAAACAGAAAATACTGGAATTGCACAGAAGGTCAATCAACGTCTGTAAGAGGTTACTATTTCGAATGAGAGTCTTTATATCAGCATGTTATCATTACAGTGAGTTGAGATCAATAACAAGATAGAAAAAAGATGTTAGACCCTCAGCTGTTTGGGGCTGCCTGGCCTCAGATAGTTGTGTGATGTAATGACAGTAACATACATGCCAGCATAATTGATAATGTTTGAAACTGAAGAGCCACTTTTTGTGTCACATTTCAGACCGTCCAGAATTTGGCAAATTGTTCAATGAAGCCTTCATTTTGAAGATTTTTTTTATATTGTCTTGTAAAGACTGAATTCAACCGTTGGATAAGTGCTGGACGGTTTAAAATACAATCTAAATGAAGTAAATCTAGACCCCGATGAAATTTATCCCTCTAGAGAGGATGAGAGAGTTGAAAAAACATGGATGGTAAATGGTGTATTATAATCTGATGGCCTCCTAATATTCTATTCCATGTTGTTTGTTTCCTTTGAACCAGATTGCCACAGAGGCTGTTGAGAACATTCGAACGGTTGTATCACTAACACGAGAAAAAAAGTTTGAAGAAATGTACGAAGAAACAATAAAGGGTCCTGCCAGGTAATGCCAACAGAACATCTTCAATTGTGATACTGTTATTCTTGCCTTTGTTAAAAAACAGGAGTACAACTCAGAAATATTACAAGCGGGAGTGTATTTCACAAATATATGCCAATGCAATACCATTTGCTGAATATGCTTTAAATCAAGGAATTGGTTACTATTATAGGGGAGAAGCATTTTAATATCAAGTCATATAATTTAATAACAGTCTCAAAGCACTTCACAGGATGAAGTGAAGTGATTATTTATTTGTAGGCAAACATGGGGCCCAATTTGTGTACAGCAGTGTCCCACAATCAGCTATTAATTGAATGAACAACTTTTATATATACACACACCATATATATTATGTATATTCAAATAAATATATATAGTACAATATTATATATAGTGTATATATAATATGTGTTGAAAAATATACACAGGTATCTTTAAATTGATCATGAGGACTGTGATCTGAAGGGCTTCTCTGCAAATTATTGTAAAACACTAATTTCATCTGTGTAGATTTGATCTACACAATAGTCTAAAATAACCAGGATTAATTGATTAAACTCCAGAAAAAGAGATTGAAGACTGAGGAGAACATTGTTCTGTATGTGATACTGTTCCTTTTCTTTTGGTCAACTGGGTGTCTGACACCTGTGGAAACCCATCATTGTGTTTAAGAACATCAAAACCAGACAGAATTTCATGTAGGTACCCCATTTACATATGGAAATTTCCCCGGGTCTAAAATAGAATGTGCACTCTCTCCCTGGAGGAATGCGCCCTGTTTACATAATCTCCAAGGGTATTAGGCACAGGTTAGTGAAATGCAATGTTTCAAGAAGGCAAAGTGAGTACTGCTGGAATTTTAACCAGCTAATACGCCAATGAGAGCACTATCTGGCAAGCTTCCCTCCTCTCCTGTTCCTGTCACACTGTATGTTTCATCCATGTGAATCTGCAATTTCCTTTATTAAACCTTGGTGCTATCCTGCAATATGAACCATGACCTAATTTTACAGTAAAATACATATTTGGCTATTTGTCTTCCTTTTTTGCTGTAGGAATGCAGAAAAGAAGGCTCACATCTATGGACTCACCTTTTCCCTCTCACAAGCCATTGTATACTTTGCCTATGCTGCGTGTTTTCGATTTGGAGCCTGGCTGGTGACAAACAATTACATGGGATTTGGTGATGTTTTCCTGTAAATATTATTTATTTTTGTGAATACTTAGTGTACTTACATTTACAGTGTATTGTTGCAAAGCAAAATAACTTTCATTGTTTCATTCTTTCTGTGTTGCATTTCAATTGTTACATGTTTCAAACAGCCTGAAAGGATTGCAGATTAAGAATATTCTTATTTTTGTACATTTGCCCCCTAAAGTATTTGAGGGTCTGGGTAGTTTAATGCATTTTATAGGATGAATCTTGCCCCTTATCTCCCAGCCCCTTCAGGCTCCCAATTCCTATATGAAAGTCACTATATTAATGCATGTTGTTAACATAGTGCTTTTTTACTTTTGTGATTTGAGTTCACACACTCACAAAAGGCCTTGTGTAGAAAATGGAAAGATTTTCTGACATTGGAGCAGAGTAACAGAAATTTTATGCTGGGCCTCATTGAGCACAAAATTCATATAAACAATGTGAAAAATATGAATGTTAGAAAGTTTTAATTTAGTGCTTTAAAATTTGCAAAAGGGGGAGGGGAAAGTTGACCGAAAGTCTAGTCAAAGAGGTAGGTCTTTGACACGTTATCAAATGTGAGTGTCATATTGATTTATTTCCAGAGTTATGCTTTTAGAATCCATATATGATTGCCTTTTGGCATTTTTCTGTCAGAAATATACTGATCTAGACTGGCCTGTGCACTCCGATCTCTGCCTAATATCTACCTTTGTGATCTTTTCAGCGTTTTCTCAGCTATTGTGTTTGGAGCTATGGCTTTGGGGCAGACCAGTTCAATGGCACCTGACTATGTAAAGGCCAAGTTGTCAGCAGCACACATGTTTGTGTTATTTGACCAACTGCCAACTATAGATAGTTTCAGCGACGATGGGGACATTCCTGTAAGTCCTCTAGCTTCCTTTTAAACAGTGCAATGAAAAATGAAGAAAAGTGTCTTTATAAGAACATGTTGTATTAAATTACCAAGGTGGGCTTCCTGCCAAGGAGTGAGCACAGGCTATACAAGGGTATCTGTCTATCACATAACAAAGCAATGTATATCAATCTATCACCTAATTAGGCAATGTATGTTATTCCTGGTATTTCATCAACCACCTCATCACGTCAAAACATTTCAAAGCGCTTCACAGGATTTACTGTAAAGTGTGGTGACTGTGCATTTCTAGGCAAATTTCTGTGACGTAGATTGACCAATGTATATCTGTTTTGGACTAGCAGTCTCACAAATGGTTCCCAGATTTCTGTAGAAATCCAGCGAAATAATAGTCTGTTGTTGCATTTATTTTTGTATAAGTTAAGGTTAATATTTTACTGGCAAAATGTACAGTCAATTCACTTTATAGTATATTCTGTGAAGTGCTTTGAGTCTCGAAAATGTGAAAAGGCTCATATCAAATGCAAGGATTATTATTATTAGAAAGCAATACCTATTAAAGCAAGGTCTTACACTTGATGAAATCTGTACATCCTGCAGTGAGAGGTTAGTGTGATTATATTATTATTTTTGTTTTAATTTAGTGATTTATTCAAATATCTTGGTTTGAATTCAATACCTCCAAAATATTGATCTTCTGGATCTAAATGTTAAAATGCCAATGTTGATGCTGAAAGTATAAGTAAGCACTGAAACTCAGGGATCAGGAGATTACCACCAACACCATTAGACCAGACTCCCTCCTCACATTGATCAGATTAACTCCATCACTGTTAGCCATACCCCATTATCAGATTAACACAACCACCATTAGCCCCCCCACCCTCCCCCTGCCATAATCAGTTCAATGATCAGATTAACATTATCACTATTCCGATTAACGCCCCACCACCCCAGTGATCAGGAGATTAAGACTATTACCAACAGCCTCTCCCCTCCCAATAATCTGGTTAATACCGCCATTAGNCCCCCCTCATCATTTTAAAATCATGGTTTTAGCCTTGAGATCATTATTTTAAAAATTAAGGTTATTAAAAGGTACAGGGAAAAAACATATTCCTAATTAAAACTGATATTTTTTGTTAATTTGGCACAAATGTCTAAACCAACCATGTGACCACCAAGACAAAGAGGGATTTCAGACCTGTGATTGCTTTGAAGTGTATGTAGTTTCATGGATATTTTAAAACTAGACCTTTCAGAATACAATTGAACACAGGTTTATGGATTATTTCATTAAATCATTTCATTAAATGTCCATGTTCTGGTTTTGATTTTTCCTAGAAAAATTTTGACGGAAAAGTCAAATTTGAAAACATTTCCTTTATCTACCCAACACGCCCAGAAGTGCCTGTGTTACAAAATTTGACGGTTTCAGTTGAGAAGGGGCAGACTTTGGCACTGGTGGGCAGCAGTGGCTGTGGGAAAAGCACCACTGTACAGCTGCTGGAGAGGTTCTACGATCCACTTAATGGGAAAGTGGTAAGTGGTCTACAGAATCATACAAAATTTACAGCACAGAAGAAGGCTCATTGTGTCTGTGCTGGGTCTTTTAGGAGGCATCCTTTCAGTCCCATTTACCTGTCCTTTAGGAACGTAGGAACAGGAGCCTTTCAGTCCCATTTACCTGTCCTTGAGGAACATAGGATCAGGAATAGGCCATTCAGCCCCTCGAGCCTGTTCTGCCATTCTATTAGATCCAATTACCTGCCTTTGCCCCATATCCCTTGATACCTTTACGTAACAAAAACAAATCTACAATCTACAATATTTGAATGGATCCAGCATTCACAGCCTTTTGCGGGAGGGAGTTCCAGATTCCCACTACTATTTGTTTGAAAAAATGCTTTCTGTTTTCACTTCTGAATGGCCTAGCTCTAATTTTAAGACTATGCCCCCTTGTTCTGGATTCCCCCACCAGAGGAAATACTTTCTCTGTAGTTACCCTATCGAATCTCTTTATCATTTTAGATACCTTAATCATACCACCCCTCAACCTTCCAAACGCGAGGGAATACAGATAATGTAACCATTTAAGCCCTGCTATCATTCTGGTGAATCTGTGCTGCACCCCCTGCAGTGCCAGTATATCTTTCCAGATTCCTCTGTAGCTTATTCTTTATAGGTATTTATCGAGTTCCCTTTTGAAGGATGGTACGGATTCTGCCTCATGCATTGCTCCTGACAGGGCTTTCTGATCTTAATTACTTTAGGTATGAAACAAATTTCTCCTAACCTCCTCATTCATTCAGTTTGCTAACTATCTTAAACTGATGCCCTCCAGTCATACATTCAATAGTGTTTGAAATCTTACAAGATCTGAAATCTGTTATGGTTGATATCGTGTTAAATGCATAAACCAAAGGAAAGCTTTGTTAACTAGTCATCTCGCTGTTATAGATTTGTGCATGTCAGGTATGAAAATATGATGGTTATGTAGGGCGCTCTTTAGGTTCAAAAAGAGAATTCTCAGAGGGACTGTCTGTCAGATAGTTGATGAGGAAACTCTGAGGATGGAGGTGACAATTACTGGAACTGTTTACCTGGAATCTGAGTCGATGAACACGCAGTCATACACTCAAGCTCTGGACCTCCAACTGGATGTGTGTCTGAGCTGTGGACAGGAAGATGTTGGCAGTGCTCTCATGCATTTCATGCTGAGCTGTGTTACCCACCAGGACGTTTTCAGAAAGTTCCTGGTACTTGCCTTCCATCTAGTGAGGGTTCAAACCTACACTTGGCAATAGTCAAATTACACCAGTGTATCAATTCACTTGTCCCTTGATAAACTTATCAACCTCCCTCTATTCACTCTGCATTCTAAATCGTTTTTATTTAAAGGAAGGGTAATTGATTATTGCTATGTTTATATTATCACTCAGCTGTTAGATGATCAGAACATCAAGAACCTAAACATCCAATGGGTTCGAGCACAGATGGGCATTGTGTCACAGGAGCCCATCCTGTTTGATTGCAGCATTAGAGATAACATCGCCTATGGGGACAACAGCAGGTCCATCTCTGATGCGGAGATAGTGGATGCAGCCAAAGCCGCAAATATACATTCCTTTATTGAAACCCTTCCCGAGGTATGTGACAGGATAGATTCACTCAGTCTTTGAAATCAGCACTTCTACCTATACTTATCAAAACTAGACTTTCTCCTATGTGGAAGACTTTATATAAAGTGCAAGTGGTCGGGAGTAGAGGTAGGAGAGCCCGGGCGGAGCTGAGGGCTAGCCGTGTACAAAAGCACAGCCAGGTGAGGAGCCACTCAGTCGGGAACGGAGGTAGGAGAGTGGGGTGGGGGCGGGGTAAGTGATTCCCAAAGTGACGTTGGCGTGACGTCACAGTTAATATTTAAACCCAGCAACAATGTCCTGGCCCCTGGCACTGCCATCCCGGCCATGACTTGGGAGGCTAAGCCTGAGGGCTGATGCCATCCCACTGATCACTCGCTCCCGGTCTCTGCGTGCGCGTTTTGGCTTCGCCCTGACCCAAGCCTCCCCCTAAATGTCTCTCCTCCTACACCCTTCAACGTCTCTCCTCCCAACCCCCCCCCCCCCCATCCGCTACTTCCCCTTTGTCCTTCTCTCCCACCGCCCTCCCTGCCTTCTCTCTCTCTCCTCAACCCCATCACCACTTCCCTCTGCTCCAGCCTGGGCATCCTATGCCGGGCCCATCGTGGCTCCCGGCACTGGCTGTCCCAGAGCAGCAACCCCACGTGTCCAATCATTCACTCCCTCTGCTCAAACTACCTCCTTAAGGCAAATCCAACTTCCCCTCCCTCACACGTACCCTCCCCAATTCTCCACTCTCCACAACCATCTCTCCTATACACCCCAAAATCCTCTCCACATCACTCTCTCCTCCCTCCCCCCCCTCCAGCAAACCCACCTGCATTTCCCTTCAAAATGTCCGTTCCCTCTTAAACAAAGCCCTCACCGTCCACGACCTCATCCTGGACGAGCACCTTGACATCCTTGGGCTCACCGAAACCTGCTCTCCACCAATGACCCTGTACCCCTAGTGGAAGCCTCCCCTCCAGGCTACACCTTCCACCACACACCCCCGTCCAAACCAACGTGGTGGTGGGGTGGCCCTCATCTCCAAAGCCTCCCTTGGCCTCACCCCTACTCCTCTGGCTGCTTCCCCTCTTTCGAGCACCTCACCCTTTTCCGCCCCTCTCTCCATTTGAAAATCCTCCTTGTTTACCGTCCCCCTAAACCCTCCGGCTCTTTCCACACAGACATCTCCACTCTCTTCCCTGTCCCTCTGCTCTGAGCGCCTACTTATAATGGGCGATTTCAACCTCCACCTAAACTCCCCTTGCACCGCTTCTGCTGATTTCACTGCCATCCTCTCCTCCCTTAACCTTACCCTACATATAAACTCACCTACCCACAACCATGGTCATGCATTTGACCTCATCATCACCCACGGCCTTGACATTTCTGACTTTAGCATAGTGGACAAGGCCATCTCGGACCACTTTTTCATCTCCTTCTCCTCTCACATCCCTCTCTCCTCCACCAAGCCCTCAACCATCCTCTACCGCCCTTTGAAAAGACTACCCCCTGAGATCCTCACAAAGGCCCTCGCTTTATCAAACATCCTAACCCTCTGACCTTCCACCCGCGGAGATCCTGAAGCAGCCATCTAGCTGCTCCATGATAGCTTCTCCTCCACTTTCAACTCCCTCTTCCCCCTAAAATCCAGGACCATCTCCAAATCCACCCGATCCCCCTGGTACAACAACCATCTCCGCCGCCAAAAAACCCAAACCCATCTGCTCAAGCGCAATGGTGGAAGACTGGCCTGACAGTCCACCGCCAACTGTGGCTCGAGCATCTCCACAGCTACCACTGTTCTTTGACATGTGCAAAAACGGCCTTTTACTCCAACATCATCTTGGAGGCCAAATACAATCCCAAATCCTTTTTTTCCACCACCCACTACCTCCTCCATCTGCCCCCCGCCCCCCTCAGGCCTCCTCAATCTTCACATCAAATGCCAAGTGCGAGGAGGTCATGGACTTCTTTTCTGCTAAAATACTCAACATCCGCCAGGCAGCCTCATCCACCTGCCCCCTGTCACCCACCACCACGCCCTCTCTGTCCCCCTCACCTTCCTCATCATCTGCTCCTACCACCACCCCCATTCTACATTCCTTCCTCCCCATCTCTCCCTTCTCCCTTTCACCCACCATCACCTCCATGAAACCCACCACCTGTTGCCTCGACCTCCTTCCCACCAACTTACTGGTTACATAGCTCCCCCTCCTATGCCCACTACTGGCTGACATCATCAACCAGACCCTCTCCTCCGGATCAGTCCCTGCCCCCCTCAAAACTGCTGTATTCATCCCCCTCCTGAAAAAACCCTCCCCAGATCCCTCAAATCCCAGCCATTACCTCCCTATTTCTAACCTGCCCTTCCTCTCAAAGGCTCTAGAACGGGTTGTTGCCAACCAACTTCGCCCACACCTCTCCTCCCACTCCCTCTTCGAACCCCTCCAGTCTGGTTTCCGCCCACAGTACAGAGACTGCGCTTGTGAAAGTCACAAACGACATCCTCTCTATCTGTGACCAGGGCTCCCTCTGCCTCCTTGTCCACCTGGACCTCTCCACCGCGTTCAACACAGTCGATCACACCATCCTCCTCCACCGCCTTTTCTCCGTCATCCACCTCAGTGGGACCACACTCGCCTGGTTCGAGTCCTACCTCACAAACCACCAGCAGTACATCTGCACAAATGGCTTCTCCTCCCACTCTCACCCGGTCACCTGCAGGGTAACCCAAGGATCCACCCTTGGTCCCATCCTCTTTCTGATCTATATGCTCCCTCTTGGGGATGTCATCCGCAGACATGGGGTACATTCCCACATGTATGCAGATGACACCCAACTCTACTTTTCCACCTCTCTTTGCGACTGCCAGTCCCCTGATGTTCTGTCAGCCTACCTGTCAGATCTCAGGGGCGAGATGAGTGCAAACTACCTTCAGCTGATCGTTGACAAGACGGAAGCCATACTCTTCGGTTTTCGTCAACGTCTAAAATCTCACGGTTCTCACCTACTCCACCTACCCGACCTCCCCCTAAACCTCTCCGAACCCATACGCAACCTAGGGATCAGGTTCGACCCCCAATTATCCTTCCTCCCCCACATCCGGTCCCTCACCAGCACCGCCTTTTTCCACCTCAGTCGCAGCGCTCGTCTCCGCCAATACTCTCCCCAAAAGCCGCTGAAACTCTGGTCCATGCCTTTGTCACCTCTCGGCTGGACTACTCTAAAGCCCTCCTTGCCGACCTCCCATCCACTACCATCCATAAAATCCAACTCATTCAGAACTCTGCTGCCCGCATTTTCACCCACACCAAACTCCGCTCCCCGATCACCCCAGTCCTTGCCAGACTGCACTGGCTGCCTATCCCAGAGAGGATCAACTTCAAGAACTTCACCCTCTATTTCAAGTCCCTGCACTCCTTTGCACCCCCCCGACCTCTCTGACCTCCTCTCTCTCCTCAAAACAGCACCCGTTGCCTTCGTTCCTCCGGGTCTGGACTCCTCCTTGTCCCCCAAGTCCTCTGCTCCACCCTCGGCGGCCGTGCCTTCAGCCACTATGCCCGGAGGCTCTGGAACTGCCTTCCTCCCGTTGTCTCGCTCCCTCCCTTCCCATTTTCAGGTCTCTGCTGAAGACCTTTCTTTTCGACCGCGCCTTTGGTCACCTTCCCACCCCTCCCCCTGGCTCCGTCCCGGGATCCGAAACTGTAAAGCGCTCTGAGACGCCGTCCGGAGTGGAGGGCGCTATATAAATCCAAGTTGCTGTTGTTATTGAAACCTTTTTTTTAAAAAAGACTATAAATTGCCATTCCTTCTAGCCTTATTCATTTTTCACCTCATTTACTTCAGAACTACAATACCTGTGTAGGGGATAAAGGGACCCAGCTGTCTGGGGGGCAGAAACAGCGTATTGCCATTGCCCGAGCTCTTGTACGAAATCCCAAGATCCTTCTCCTAGATGAAGCTACTTCAGCGCTGGATACAGAAAGTGAAAAGGTAACAATGTGCTTCTCCGGTTCACGTTCAAAACATTTAAAGTAACATTTCCAAATAATTTAATTCTGCTGATCAGCAAAACCAGCTTTAGGTTTGTTTAACAATATCACCGCGTGAAGCAGCTTTGCCGGTCAATATCTTTTAATGATTTCTCATTGCAGATGTTACCAATGTATTTACAAGGTTATTGGTTCTGTTGTGTGCCGTGTATAAACCATATGTGAGTAAATGTAAGAAATGACAGTTAGTGAGGACAAGATTTGACATTACATCTTGTATTGTGAATGTAATAGTGAATGTAATAACCGAGCCTTCAGCTCCCCTCTCGACTCTCTTCCCCCTCCTCCTTCCCTCCCCTCACCCTGACCATTTCCCCCCTGCTCGGGTCATGACCCAACTGTGCAGCGCCTTGGGACGTCCTCCTGACGTGAAAGGCGCTTTATAAATGGAATCTTGTTGCTGTTGTTGTTGTTGTTGTAATATTGGTGCATTCTGCGTTTACCGGGTCAAAGCTGCAAAACTGCAATGTAGTCAAACAACATGCTAATATGGCATGAAATATTACCAGACATTATTGCTGACATTGCTGACTTCTTTCGCTCCATGTGTTTGAACAGGTTGTTCAAGAGGCCCTGGACAAAGCCAGGGAAGGTCGCACTTGCATTGTTATAGCTCACCGTTTGTCAACGATCCAGAACGCCAATAAAATAGCTGTGTTCAAGAATGGAGAAATCGCAGAGCAAGGAACACACCAGCAGCTGCTCGCCAAACAGGGACTTTACTACACACTTGTCACAGCGCAATTGGGGCACAGAAAATAGAACTGAGCCAAGTGAACTAAATCAATGGATTTATTAGTTATTCCAGGTGATGGCTAGTTAATTTAGAAGATATGCAAATTTAGTTCACTGATTCTAAGCAGGGATGATTTTGATCAGTTAGGAAATTTGTTTTGTGCCCATTCAATTGGAAACCAAATGTTCTGCACTGTTCACTTGAAACTTGGATCAAGCCTAACCACTTGCCTGTTTTACACTAGATCTGTGGTGATAATTTCTCCCTCATGTAGCTCTCCAAAGATTGTGAAACTTTTGGGCTTTCCTTATGCACTCTCTGCTCACTTCCTTATGCACTCTCAAGGCATGTACAGTATCAAAAGGGCTTAATTGGTAACACTCCCCTTTCCATGCTGTGGGTCAAAGTGCCCCATAAAGACTTGAGTTCATAATTCAGAATGATATTCCAATCCAGTACTGGTGGAGGTGCCTTTTTTTAGATGAGTTCACTTTGGCCACTGATGTTCTGGCTGTGAATCCTCCAGATAGATTTGTTAACCTCATCACTGTGAACGTTTCTCTGCACAAAGCGGATGCCTTGTTTGCCTACAAAAAATAATTAGTAAGGAGTGTAAAATACTTTTGAAATATTTTGCCTCTATTGGATGATAAAAGTGAAAGTTCTTTCCGGTTTATCATATTAAATGTATCTTATTAAGCCATCACTCTTATGACAAGACATGCCACGCTCTTGCATGTCATTTAGCGCCTTTCACATGGGGAGGATATCTCAAGGCACCATACAAGATTTACTGTAAAGTGTAATGACTGGATTTTGTTGGCAAATTATTCACTCAATATTTACTGGCAGTCTGGTAATACCACTCCAATATACCATCCATTAGGGACTTTATTGTTGATAAATAATACTAATGATTCCTGAGATTGATAGAGTGCTATATCACATTGTCAAGTTGTCTCAAAGTGCTTCACAGGATATATTGTAAACTGATGGGACTATGTATATTTTGTAGGTGAATGAGGCAGACAATTTGTGTACAGCAATGTCGCACAAACAGCCATAGGTAGCTGTGGTCAAAAAAAATCTTAAACTATCACATTGATTTATGTGACCACTTTATATACACATCCTTAGTTACATAACAAAATGTTTTTAAAAAATTATTGAACTCCTGATGCTTAAGTTCTTGGTTAACAATTCGGTAGTAAATTGATTAGGAATATAGTGAACAGCTCTTAGAAAACATTAACAAATAGTGTTTACCAGCATGAATTGAAACAAGTTAATAGAAACGTCAGCTTTAATGCTACAGTATTCCTGTATCAGGGAATGCTGACATCACAAAACATCAATTTGGCAAAATTCCTCTTAGGTCTGGATTTATTCTATTTATGAAGAGTTTGGAGCAGAATCAATTCTGTCTTAACTTTGAACTCGGTTTTCTGTTTCTTTTAAAAGAATTTGTGGGAAAATGGCTTCAAAATAAAGGTGTATTCAAGAATGTGCCAAATTCTGGAATCACTGAAATGCTTTGTAAATAGAGTATCTATTTAAACAACATTAATAAATGTCATCCAGTATAAATGTATTATGGGTAGAATTTCTCCCCACAGATGTTCTATTTTGCAGCATTTGCATTTTCTCTATCCAGTGGACAATTTATGGCTTTTCTAGATTGTCTTCTTAAGCCTCTTTTAGACCACTAGTTCATTGCAGAACTTTGTTTTATTTCTGCCAGAACCTTAAGGTATCCAACTACCTAAATTCTGATTGCATCCTGGACAAATATTTCACCTCAACCCCAACAAAAGCCCTCAATAACAATTCATTGCCTGCAGTCAATTAAGCACTCCAAGAGGCTGCCTCACATAAAGGGCACTATATGTTATTACAACGTATTTGTGATTACATTCTAAGCTTTGCTTATTCTAGATCTTGCGTTTGTTTTCTTTTCCTCTTGATAATCCTACAACACACTCCTGGCAAATCATTTTAATTCATATATTTTAATGCCTGTTTTTATATGTGTTTAAACTAGTTTATGATCATTACCATAATTGATAAATTATTAAATATATACAGTATGTTATATTTGTATTACTAGTTATCTTAATTTGTATGCATTATCATATTATGCCAAAATCTTGCACTTCTAAATGTATTTTCAACAGAAATCTATTATCAGCCTTTAATCCAAATCAAGAGGACTGTACTGTTTAGGCTATTTTTACACTTCCCTTTAATCTTTTCATGTGAGATTAGAGTTGGGTTTAAATGACATTGTGCTTGTTTTTATTTTCTTCGGTGCCTTTGGACAGCCTCACCATGTGAATTATGAATGTTAAATTTATATAAATAATGAAAGTAAATTTGTGTTGTAGCTTACAAGTACTCAAATTGACAATCATCTTATCAAGTACAGTACGGTAATAGAAGTAAAAGCACTGGAACAATATGAATCTGAAAAAATCTGAAATAATTGCTAGAAATCTGCAATGGACAAACCAGCATCTAAAAGACTGAGGATCAAACTTTGCACATGGCTTTGAATCCTTCATCTCTTGCAGATACAAGTGCTCAGTGCACATATTGTACCTTAGGTAAAATATCTAAAGTGCTGGCTTTTCTGCTGCAGACCTAGTTCTATATATTAAACTGTATAATAACTATGTGAACTGTATGTACAAGGATACTGTTATTGCTAGTGATGAGATGAACCTGGTTATAGTCTAGGCTAACACGCCAGTGTACAGAGAGGGAAGCAATACAATAATAATAATAATAATAATCCTTGCATTTGATATAGCGCTTTTCACGTCGGGAGGACGTCCCAAAGCGCTTCACAGAACAAACTGTAAAGTGAATTGACTGTATATTTGTGGGCGAACGCGGCAGCCAATTGCGCACAGCAATGTCCCACAAACAGTCGTAGATTGAAAATGACCAATTTATTATTGTTTTTGGTTTTGGAGGGATTATTATTAGGCTCTGTGTGGAGTAAGGAAACTTGCCCAAGGTTTCGCCCTGCCTGGAATTGAACTCAGGTCTCTCGCTTGCAAAGCGAGTGCTCTAACCACTGAGCTACAGGACTCCAAATGTCAGAGACATTAAAACCGAGATGCCATCTGCCTGTACAGATATTTATTAAAGATCCCATGACCCTATTTGAAAAGAGTAGAGTGTTTTCCCTGTGTGTTGGCCAACCTATCCCCAATACCCCCCTCACCGATTTAAAAAAAGTGCAAATTGGCAGCTGGATAAACAGTCACTACAATATACAGAAAACTAAAGCACTTTGAGGCATTTCAATGTGATAAGTCTCTGGATCAAATGCAAATATTATTATCACATATCACTTATCACACTCAATGGAGTTTCTCTTAAGAAGCTGCCAAAATGTCAAACAGATTAATAATGTCAGCTGAGAGACTGGAAAGACTCTGGGCTCTTTAAAATGAAACCATTGAAGATTATAAAGCGATCCCACGTTTAGAAAAACAAACTGTAACGAAGACCAAATACTTGCGATACATTATGTTCAACATTCATTATTTTTAATAAACGGTTTATTTTATAACCTTTTAATTGTTGTGAGATTCTTTGTGATCTGAGATGAGTACGAGACTGAAATATAATAATAATAATAATCCTTGCATTTGATTTGGCGCTTTTCATGTCGGGAGGACGTCCCAAAGCGCTTCACAGAATATACTGTAAAGTGAATTGACTGTATATTTGTGGGCGAACGCGGCAGCCAATTGCGCACAGCAATGTCCCACAAACAGTCGTAGATTGAAAATGACCAATTTATTATTGTTTTTGGTTTTTGGAGGGATTATTATTAGGTGTGTGGAGTAAGGAAACTTGCCCAAGGTTTCGCCCTGCCTGGAATTGAACCCAGGTGTCTCGCTTGCAAAGCGAGTGCTCTAACCACTGAGCTACAGGACTCCACATATGTGATTAATATGAAAATATCTGAAAAATTGTTGCTTGTCTGGTGTTCATTTTTATGTACAAATGCTGTTCCATACAAAGGGATAAGAACATAAGAACTGCTAAGAAAAAGATCAAGGTCCATCTAGTTCACCTTCCACCATCCTGGCAGTCGCTTAACATGTCATTTTTCTCACAGAAATCTATCTAATTTGTTCTTGAAACAAACAATACTTTCTGCTTCCACCATCTGCCCAGGGAGCATGTTCCATAGGTTTACTACTTGCTCACTGAAGTTGTGTTTTCGTAAGATTTGTTCCGAATTTACCCCAAATTTACCCCAGCTATCTTGTTGACCAAATAATTGTGTGAGCAGTGTCAGGCAAACCACCAAGCAGGATTACCCTACCCAATAGAGCTTTGGGCTGCAGGGTTAAAAAGAGCTCAACAGAAGAATCCCTACCCCAAGTCTGTCCTTCCAAGCTTTATTGATAAGCCAGACTGGCTGGTCTTCAATCAGCAGTGCTTTGGGTACTGCTCATCGATCAGACTGGCCCATGAACTGGAATACCTTCACCACCACAGTGGGATGCCCCAATGCCCAGAGAATGCTGAGAAGGTGGAACTCAATATCGGAAACTGGTTGAAGAAAAAAGCATCAATGTATGTAAGAAGAAACTTGATACATGCATGAGGGAGAAGCTAATGGAAGGGTGTAGGAGAAGGAAAAAGAGGGATGGGGGCTCGTGTGAAACATAAAGGCTAATTGGGCCGAATGGTCTGTTTCCAGGCTGCAACATTCTGCGTATGTCTATGTAGTGCCCTCCACTCATGGTAGCGTCTCAGAACACTTAACAGTGGCAGAGCCTGACTCCGAGCCAGGGGGAGTGGGGGAGGTGGCCGTGAGTGCGGTCAAAGAGGAAAGTTTTCAGGTGGGACTTGAAAGAGGGGAGAGAGGGGGCAAGGCAGAGGGATTGAGGGAGTGTTCCAGAGTTTTGCGGAGTAGTGGCTGAAATCACGACTTTCGATGTTGGGGCGGAGGGTGCGAGGGACGAGCAGGAGGCTGGTGCCAGTTGAGCGGAGGTGCCGGGTGGTGGATCGGGGAGTGAGGGGGTCGGAGAGGTAGGGAGGTGCCAGGGAGTGAAGGGATTTGAACATGAGTGTGAGGATCTTGAAGTCGATCCATTCAGTCATGGGGAGCCAGTGGAACCGGTGAGATGTCAGTATGCAGGCGGTAGAATTCTGAATGAGCTGGATCTTTTGAATAGTGGAGCTGGGGAGACCGGCGGGGAGTGCGTTGGAGTAATCCAGGCGGGAGGTGACAAACGCATGCACAAGGGTTACGGCTGGATTTCAATCGGGATGTTTATAAACACCCCTCCCAAAAGTGTGTGGGCCTTGAGGTCGATCTTGAACTACTGATCCATCTCCAACATGCCCTTTCTCTCCAAGGTGCTGGAATGAGTTGTTGATTCCCATTGATGCGTCTTAAAAGTGCAGAAAGCACGGTTGAGGAGATAGCTCTTAAGGCAGATTTTGAAGGTGAGGAGGGTTGAGATGACAGTGTTCCCAATTAGAGTGACTAAAAGGCTTCCTATGGTTTAGTAAACTGGAGCCGAATATATTAATATATATCTGGATACAGCGCCTTATCACGTCTTCAAGACGTTGCAAATCGCTTCACAGAATATACTGTAAAGTGAATTGAGTGTATATTTTAGTGGGTGAAAGTATATAGAGCATTAACAGGATGGATTCAAACATCTGATGTCTCCTTCAGCTTGGAGAAGTTGACCTGCATGTATTTGTTTTCATTTTACATTTCCACCCCCTCCCCTCAATCTCGTGCGCCTAAACATCTAGTGAAGCATTTTTGAGACATCCTACCAATGTGGAAGCTGCTATGTAATTGTAAATTGTATTGTAATTTTGGGAGGGGTGTTTATAAACATCCTGATTGAAATCCTGACTAAGAAGATCAAACATCACAAAACAGCCTGAGTTCCTCTCTTAGAATGAGACCATTATGGGAATACAAAACATTATAAACAAACCAAAAAAATACACCCACAAGGTTATATCTGCTGTTCTAGTGCCAATTTATTTCCAAATCGAAGAGTTTCATTTCAGGAATGAGATTGTGCAAATAAATCTACAGTTTGAATCAATTGATCCAATCACATTTACTTTTCAAATCAAACAATTAAGATACAATAGTTTCAACTATATCATTTGAAATGAATAGAATTCAGAAAATGTTATTGATAAATAGACATTTAGTTTTTCATTTAATAAATCATCAACCCCCCAATGCTTTTATCTACAATTAATGCATCATTTGGTTCACACAAATTCTGCCTATTTTACCATTACTGTATTTAGATGTCTCTGCTTTATAGAATCATTAATAAATAATTCTTTCATTTGATGTAGCATTTTATGTTGAAACATCTCAAAGTTCTTTGCGAAGATTTCTGTAAAATGAAGCGCTTATGATGGTAGAATTCAATTTGCACAGAGCAAAGTCCCACAAACTGCCTTGAAGTAAGTGACCAATCTTATTTGGGGGAAGATTGTTAGCCAGAAAAACAGGAAAAACTCCCTTCTCTTTTTGAATATAGCCATGGGATCTTTCATGTCCATTTCAACAGGCAGACAGGACCTTGGTTTAATGTCTCATTCAAAGCGCCTCTGACAATGCAGCATTCTCCAAGCACTGCACTGGAGTTAGCCTAACCCATGAGATCAAAGACCTTACTTGGTGCTTGAACTCCAAACCTTCTGATTCATAGGCGAGTGTGCTTTCAACTGAATCAGGCTGCTCCCCATCACTCAGAGATCCTGGTCCTCACCTTCAAAGCGTTCCATGGCCTTGCTCCTCCCTATCTCTGGGACCTCCTAACCCCTCCCAATCTGTCCGCTCCCTCCGTTCAGGGGGCTCCGGTCTGCTTCTTGTCCTCCGCCTCATTATCAGGGGAGCCTTCAGCCTCTCTGCCCCATCCTCTGGAACTCTATCCCACAGTCCCTCCACCTCGCCCCTTCCTTTGCCTCCTTCAAGACCCGTCTCAAGACCCTCCTCTTCGACCATGTTTTTGGTCACCCTCCTACTCCTACCCCCCCACCCTCCAATCTATCTGATCCCACCCATCAGCTCGGGTGCAGATCCCTAACTGTCCAGCACTTTGGGATGTCCTCCTGACGTGAAAGGGGCTATACAAATGTAACTTGTTGTTGATCCCTAAAGATCATCATGGAATAGAAACTACCGATCTGTCCCAGCAAATTTGCGCTGATGTGTTTCTCCACATGAATCAATCTAATCCCTCACTTCATACACTTTAATATTCCTAATCTTCAAACATCTAATTCTTTAAGGAATACATAGTCAGATTCCGGCCTGCCCTATGTCCCCCATCCGGCTCACCCCACCATCGGTAGTCAGGCCTTCAGCCTCTTTGGCTCCACCCTTTGCAACTCCATCTCAGTCTTCAGGGTATGTCTCAAGACCCTCCACATCAACCACACCTTCGGTATATATGAAGTGCACTGACTGTTTATTTTGTGGGCGAAGCGCAGCCACCAATTGCATCCAGCAGCAGTCGTGGATTGAGGGACCAAATTACTATTATTTTTAATTATTTTTTGAAAGGATTATTACCCTCAGAAAACGCTCTGTCAATCAACTAAAACCAGGTTCCTACTTACTGCTAGGTAAACAGAGGTGTGTGGAGCAAGGAAACTTGCCTCGGGTTTTGCCCTGCCCAGGAATCGAACCTGGATCCTCTTGCTTGCGAGGCAAGTGCTCTATGCTACAGGATTCAACATGTGAAAGGTAAATATATATTGTATTGATTGGCACCTCCTGTAGCTTGTGGAAGTTGACTTGCGTATATATGTTTTCATTTTTAGGAGGGGCGTTTATAAACATCCTGATTGAAAGTTGAACTAAACTGATCAACCGAGCCACTACAAACATCACAGAACAACCCAACTTCCTCGCTTAGAATGAGACTATTATGTGGATGCACAAAAATGATCAAACAAACCACAAAAAAAACACCCACAAGGTTTGTAACTGCTGTTCAAGAGCATATTTATTTATTTCCAAATTGGAGTTACATTTCAGGATCGAGACTGGCAAAGAAATCTACAGTCCGAATAGACAGATCCAATCGTATACACTTTTTTCAAATCAAACAACAAAAGACATAGTGGTTTCAAATACATTGGCCGAAATGAATACCATTCAGAAACTTATTCCTAAATATGGCTGCTTGTTTTGTCACTTAATTAATCGTAGAATTATAGAATTTTATAGCACAGAAGGAGGTCATTCAGCCTGTGCCGGCTCTTTGAAATATAGAGCTGCAAATTTTTCCTTTTTAAGTACCTGTCTAATTCCCTTTTGAAAGCTATCATTGAATCTGTTTGCACCACCCTTTCAGGCAGTGCATTCCAGATCATAACAATTCCCTGGGGAAAAAAAATTCTACTCATCTCCCCTTTGTTTCATTTGCCAATCATCTTAAATCTGCGTCCTCTGGTTATTGACCGACCAGCCAGAGGAAATAGTTTCTCCCTATCTACTTTATCAAAACCTCTCATAATTTTGAAAACACCTCTATTAAATCTCCGCTCAACCTTCTCTGCTCTAAGGAGAATAATCCCAGCCTCTCTAGTCTCCACATAATTGTAGTTCCTCATCTCTGGTATAATTCTTGTAAATCTCATATGCACCCTCACCAAGGCTCTGACATCCTTCCTAATGTGTGGTTCCCAGAATTGGACACAATACTCCTGCTGAGACCTAACCAGTAATTTGTAAAGGTTCAACATAACTTCCTTGCTTTTATACTCTATGCCTCTGTTTATAAAGCCAACATCCCATTTGCTTTTTTAACAGCTTTGTCCTGCTACCTTCAAAGATTTGTGAATGTCCAAAGGTGGAGTCCTGTAGCTCAGTGGTTAGAGCACTCGCTTTGCAAGTGAGAGACCTGAGTTCAATTCCAGGCAGAGGGCGAAACCTTGGGCAAGTTTCCTTACTCCACACAGAGCCTAATAATAATCCCTCCAAAAACCAAAAACAATAATAAATTGGTCATTTTCAATCTACGACTGTTTGTGGGACATTGCTGTGCGCAATTGGCTGCCGCGTTCGCCCACAAATATACAGTCAATTCACTTTACAGTGTGTTCTGTGAAGCGCTTTGGGACGTCCTCCTGACGTGAAAAGCGCTATATCAAATGCAAGGATTATTATTATTATTATTATTAATGTGAAACCCCAGGTCACTCTTTTCCTGTACCCCCTTTAGAATTGTATGATTTATCTTATATTGCTTCTCCTCATCCATCCTCCCAAAATGCATAACTTCAGACTTCTCTGCATTAAATTCCATCTGCCACGGGTCTGCCCATTCCACCAGCCTGTCTATGTCCTTCTGCAGTCTGTTGCTATCCTCCTCACTGTTTGCTACATTTCCAAGTTTTGTGTCATCTGCAACTTTAAAAGTTTGCTCTCTATACCCAAGTCATTAATTTATATTAAAAAGAGCAGTGGTTCTAATACCGACCCTTGGGGGACACCACTGTACATCTCCCTCCAGTCAGAAAGCAAAGGATTAGAGGTGAACGGTTGTTTTTCAGTCTCCAAGCCAATTTCGAATCCACTGTTTCCTTAATCCATGGCCTTCAATTTTGCTAACAAGTCTATCATGTGGCCCTTTATCAAAGGCTTCGTCCACATATACAACATCAACAGCACTACCCTCCATCAACCCTCTCCATTACTTCATCGAAGAACTCAATCAAGTTAATTAGACATGATTTACCTTTAACAAATCCGTGTTGGCTGTCCTTTATTAACCCATGTTTTTCCAAATTAAAATTAATTTTGTCCCGGATTATCATCTCTAGAAGTTTCCCTACTACCACAACAGGATGACTGGCCTGTACTTACCAGGTTTATCCCTCTCCCTTTTTTGAACAGGGTGTAACATTTGCAACCCTCCAGTCCTCTGGCACCACTTCCCATATCCAAGGAGAATTGAAAGATTGTGGCCAGAGTCTCCCTGTTTTGATTTTCAAAGATAAATTTTGCCTTTTTTATTTTGTTGATCTCAAACATTTCAGATTGTAGTTTATAACTCAGTCACCGTATTTTGTTTACATAAATAAATTCTTTGTAACATAATATTAAAATGACTGCAGCAATTTAAGAAAATTCACAAGATTGATTTGGATGAATAAGGCCCTTTGTCTTATCCAATTCCAACCTACCCTACTATCCCCTCATCACAGAGTCGCACTGGTTTTTAAAATGAGTCCAGTGTCCTGGCTTCTATCACCAGTCCTGGCAACCTGTCAGTTGTTGATTATCCGCTCTGTGTAACGAAAAATTCCTGGCGTCTGCTATAAAATTGCCCGCTACAACTCCAAACCCTGCAGTCTTCACCCACAAAATACAGTCACTGCAGTTTGTAGTATATTCCGTGAAGCACATTGAGACGTCCTCTCGACATGATAGACACTATACCAAATAGGATTAATATTATTATAATACATTGGCACTTAAGGAATTTCCCCATCATAATTGTGAATCATCAAAAGGGCTATTGTGTAACGCCAATTACAGCCCGATGTTACCCAATTCTTTCCTAAGAGATAATCATGACTGTAATAGATTGCTAGGAAAAGTGGTCAAGGCCAGGACACCGGATTCACTTAAAAAATAGCTGTGAGTGTCTGAGCATTCTGTGGTGGTGTGAGTAGACAGAAGTGGGTGTTCTGGAAGGATGAGACTGGATTGGCCAGAGGGCCTTCTTCATCCAAACCAATGTGTACATTTCAACAGGGTCAGATATCCATCCTCCCAGGTCAGTTACCCATCTGTCAGGTACTGCTGGCATGTAGATTCTCATTTCCTTCAATTCATAAATAATAACTTCAAATGTGATCAATAGACAGTTTGTGGGAAAATGTTTCCAGAAAACCATAATTATAAACCTACAGGACCTGTGGAGACTCAAGAAACAATCAAGCTCCCAATGCCAAAATGTTTGTTTCCTTCAGAAACATAAACACATGACTAGTCAGATTTACTTCCTGCCAGTGTTAGACCTAGTCACGTATCCAATGGTAATCACAGAAAAGATCAAATATGTTCAATTGCCTATTAATACAATAGAAAGATTAATAATAAAGACTGATTCTTTACTGCAAATATCAAATGTATATTATAATTTCTAAAATCATATTTACACATGTTAAAAACAGAGGAAGGTATCAACTTTCTCCCCACGAGACATGAAAATCCAAACGGATTCCTAGTTTCAATTTTTTAGATTTTTTAAGGAATGTTTACAGAGAATAAACACACTGACAATGTACAATTGTCAAGAGTTAAAGAAAGTTTGTTCATTTTACTTTTCCAGAAACCTGAAAGGACAAAAAGCTATTTTAAGTAGCGATATGACAAATAGCTGTAACGTTTTACTTTCCCTCTGCCTCTTCTGGTTCCTGAAGTCTGCATTGTTACTGTAAACATCTTGCATTGTAATGTGCCAATATTTCTAATATTTTGCATTGCTGTTGCAATGAAACCATTATATTTTCAAGTCCTTGAAGTAAAATTCACAGAAGAAACTTACAGGGTTTTCATATGTTGTTAACCAGTAGACCTGTGCAAATGTGAAAGAAATTAGCATTTTAATCATTATCTGCAAAAATGCTTTCTGCGTGGTCAATACTTAAAGCTGGGATTTTGACACCATCTGCACCATTTCCTGGAAGGACAGGGAGACAGCCTTGTACAGTTCTTCTGCATTGGTCTCTGGACTGGACTTCCAGGCTGAACAAGCTACCACAATCCTGTAGAGTGATAGGGGAAATGTATCACGCATAATATTTCTGTGCTCATTTTTAAACCCCTTCATACCTGGTTGCATCTGAGTGAATCTATACCTTTTCCAATGCCTTAACACCCTTATTGCTGAGTGCCGGATGCCCTATTTGAAAAACGTCCATGGGCACATAAGCAATATTTTTGTGTTTCCCTTCCAGAATTATAGCATTCACATAGCACCTTTTTCATGTTAGAAGGACGTCTCAAAGCGCTCGACACTACCGGCTGGGTACCTGGGTGTGATAGCCGAGGCAGGTGGGATAGGGAGGGAAAAGATAACCGAAAGCACAGTCAAATAGTTAGGTCTTGACGTGCGCGGGGTTGCTCACTATTTGCCAGTTGCTTGGGAGGATACGGTTGGTAAGGAGACCTGCTTACCTTCCTCTCAGCTCGGGAGGTGCTTCCTGATGAAATGTAGCGCATTGAGCCGTGGGGAGTAGGAAATAATGCCGCCCGTTGCTGCAGTCTATCAGGGGGTTCCTGTCGAGCTGAGGGGAAGGCAAGTGCGTCTCCTTACCCACCTCGTTCCCTCAACCACCAGCTCCTGCCACTGCCATGAGGAGAGAGCAGGCGGTCTGATGGAATCATCTCCTGGGCCAGATGTGGCCTGTGGGCTGCCAGTTGGAACACCGTGCTTTAGAGGATAAATTTACAACACTTGGATTTCATTGCTCAAGTCTGCGGTTTAAGACGTTCTGGACACTTGCCTGTCATCTCGGATCCGGTAGAAGAATCCATAACCATTGCGTACCATAGGAACAACAGCACCTAGGACTGTAGTGTATCCAACAAGACTAGTTGAAAGGACAAAGTTCCCTCCACCACCACTGCAAAAAGAAGCCACAATAAGAAACTAAATTGATGCCATTGTAAAAGGCCATTAATGCATTCAGGCAACTAGCCTACCGAGTTTATGCTAATATATACAAGCGTACATCTGACCAGTCAGATTGCATTACAATTCAATGTTTATTGAAGGATTAAAATACCTTCTAGTAAAGCCAATGTCTGTATAAAGCTCAGGCACCGGAAGACCTTCCTCTTTAGCTATTTGCAGAAGACCCAGGAGGTGGCGGTCAAAGCCTGAATATATAAGAATATTGTCGAAAGTAATCATTTATAAATTCAAACTGGATTTATTTAAAAACTTTGCAAAGAATTGGAATGGTGATAGGCACGGCAAAGCCACTTGCTTACCTTTACCGACCTGAGCTTCAGTCATTAGTTCATGGTGCTTTCCAACAGCTTTCATAAACAACTCCAGGCGTTTCTCAGGCTGAGATAGTGGAGCAAATACCACAGGTTACACAACTGTGTTGAAAATAGATTATTGAAAAAATGCAATTGTTCCAATGCACGCACCCACATTATTAATCTTTACATTGCTTGCCTTCACATACCATCTAGCAAATTATAAAGCAGTCTGTTAACCCCATACTGGCCTGTCCGCTCAGCGGGCACCAGCCTGCTCCGGGTCCCTCGCTCCCCTTGACACACGCAAAGACGGCCTTTTACTCCAACATCATCTTGGAGGCTAAACACAATCCTAAAATCCTTTTTTCCCCACCACCCACTACTTCGTCTGTGACGCCCCTCAGGCCTCCTCAATCCACATCAAATGCCAAGTGCAAGGAAGTCATGGACTTCTTTTCATCTAAAATACATAACATCCGCCAGGCAGCCTCATCCACCTGTCTCTTGTCATCCACCACCACGCCCTCTCTGCCCCGCTCACCCTCCTCATCATCTGCTCTTACCACCACTCCCACTCTTCATTCCTTCCTCCCCATCTCTCCCTCCTCCCTCTCACCCACCATCACCTCCATGAAACCCACCACCTGCTGCCTCGATCCCCTCCCCACCAACTTACTGGTCACACAGTTCCCCCTCCTCTGCCCACTACTGGCTGACATCATCAACCAGTCCCTCTCCTCCGGATCAGTCCCTGCCTCCCTCAAAACTGCTGTCATCACCCCCCTCCTGAAAAAACCCTCCCCAGATCCCTCTAACCCCAGCCATTACTGCCCCATTTCTAACCTGCCCTTCCTCTCAAAAGCTCTAGAACGGGTTGTGGCCAATCAACTCCGCGCACACCTTTCCTCCCACTCCCTCTTCGAACCCCTCCAGTCCGGTTTCCGCCCACAGTACAGAGACTGCACTTGTGAAAGTCACAAACGACATCCTCTCTATCTGTGACCAGGGCTCCCTCTGCCTCCTTGTCCTCCTGGACCTCTCCACCGCGTTCGACACAGTCGATCACGCCATCCTCCTCCACCGCTTTTCCTCCGTCATCCACCTCAGTGGGGCCACACTCCCCTGGTTCGAGTCCTACCTCACCAACTGCCAGCAGTACATCTGCACAAACAGCTTCTCCTCCCGCTCTCACCCGGTCACCTGTGGGGTACCCCAAGGATCCACCCTTGGCCCCCTCCTCTTTCTGATCTACATGCTCCCTCTTGGGGATGTAATCCGCAGACATGGGGTACATTTCCACATGTACGCGGACAACACCCAACTCTATTTTTCCACCTCTCTTTGCGACCCCCAGACCCCTGATGTTCTGTCAGCCTGCCTGTCAGATCTCAGGGGCTGGATGTGCGCAAACTTCCTTCAGCTGAACGTTGACAAGACAGAAGCCATACTCTTTGGCTCTCGTCAACATCCAAAATCTCACAGTTCTCATCTCCTCCACCTAACCAACCTCCCCCTAAAACTCTCCGAACCCATACGCAACCTTGGCGTCAGGTTCGACCCCCAATTATCCTTCCTCCCCCACATCCGATCCCTCACCAGCACCGCTTTCTTCCACCTCCGATGCATCACCCGCCTCCACCAATACCTCTCTCCTAAAGCCGCTGAAACTCTGTGGTCCATGCCTTTGTCACATCAACTGGACTACTCTAATGCCCTCCTCGCGGGTTTCCCATCCACTACCATCCATAAAATCCAAATCATTCAAAACTCTGCCGCCCGCATTCTCACCTGCACCAAACGATCACCCCAGTCCTTGCCAGACTGCACTGGTTGCCTGTCCCAGAGAGGATCAACTTCTAGATCCTCACCCTTGTCTTCAAATCCCTCCACTCCTCTGCACCCCCTACCTCTCTGACCTCTCTCCTCAAAACAGTACCCGTTGCCTTCGTTCCTCCGGGTCTGGCCTCCTCGTTCCCCGAGTCCTCCGCTCCATCCTCGGTGGCCGTGCCTTCAGCCACTATGCCCCGAGGCTCTGGAATTCCCTTCCTCACTCCCTTCGTCTCGCTCCCTCTCTTCCTATTTTCAGATCTCTGCTGAAGACCTTTTCAACCGCACCTTTGGTCACCTTCCTCCCCCTCCCCCTGAAAGCGCTCTGAGACACCATCCGGAGTGGAGGGCGCTATTTAAATCCAAGTTGTTGTTGTTATAATTCAAACAATTAATATTATCATCAGAGAGTAGGCAAACAGGAGAAATCAGGGCAGGTGATATTACTTTATGTGAGTATGTGAGTGGAACAGACCAACATGAAATTGAACTCAGTTTACAGGAATACTTACAGGAACATCAGGATCCAGCATCCCTTTGCACCATTCCACTGCCTCCATTGTGCAGGGCCTCATTGTCTCAGTTCGGCCGTGGTAGAATCGTCTGGTTGTTGCAGTCTCATAACAAACTCCAGGTCTGTGGGCAAAAACCATTTGAAAAATCAAGGTACATCCTTCAGTTTTAGAATTTTATAAATGTGTCAGTTGCTGGCAATTGATGCTCTTTCCAAAAAAACAAAGCAAAAAGGATTTTAGTGGAGGATCAGAAATATGTCGAATTCCAAATCCTGGTTACAAGGGATTTTCGACTGACCAACATTGAGAAATGTAACAAAAAACAACAAAATTACATTTGTATAGTGTTTCTCACGTCAGGAGGATGTCCCATTTATACCAGAGACACTCCAAAATGAAGGTTGCTGGGTGTGGATGACTTGCTTACCTGAGCCACTATGGATAATTCCCAGACAGCCTAATAGTCTAATAAGAGAAATCTAGAGGTCCAGATAAAGAAGCTTTATTTGATCTCATTCATCCCTAATACCAACCCTATTCTCCTCCCATTGCCGCAGTGTTTATTTGATGGGTTAAATGTGTCAACTGTCAGACAATATCATCCACTGAGGTTAGTTTGATCCCAAATGTTCGTAAGAATGCTGACTTTTTGGAATTAATATTTAATATCAATTATTATTTTAAATTGAAGTAGGTGAATCATTTGAAGATCCTATTGTGGAGATTGTTTTAAAGCACAGAGAAAGGTAGTAATGTGGAGAGAAGTACCAGGAAGGTGAGTCCCAAAGAGCAGGGCCATGGTTCCTGAATAATAATAATAAAAATATTAATAGCTTTTGATAAAACTCCTTATCATCTCATTGAGACATCTCAAAGCGCTTACCAGAATAAACTGTAAAGTGGATTAACAGTATATTTTGTGTGTGAAACGCGGTAGCGTTTGTGTCCCACAAGTAGTCGTGGATTGAGTGACCACATTTTTTTTTGAAGGGATTATTACCCCCGGAAAAGCAAGCAATAGAGTCAAAAGTGCAAAGAGTGCCAGATGGAATGGAGCAAAAATGCAAACAAGCTTGAGAACAACAACAACTTCAGCTGAGATTTGAAGACAGATAAAAGGGAAGCAAGGCAGAGGGAGTGAGGTAGGGAATTCCGAAAATTAGGATCATGGTGGCTGAAGGAATGGCCACCAACTGTGACGCAGAGAGGCTGGGACATGCAGCAGGTCTGAGCTATCTTAGTGTATGAGGTGGGTAGTGGAGTGGGAAATCAGCAGGTCAGAGAGTTAGTGAGTGCTCAGGTAAAAAAGGATTTGTATGTGGGGCAAGGATCTTGAAGTTGATCCATTAGCAGGCAGTGGAGGCTGAAGAGGATCGGGGTGATGGGCAAGTGGAGTTTGATGGGGGTGGTAAAACAGGGGGAGAGTTTTGTGTTAGCTGGATCTTGGTTGGATGGTGGGTCTGGGGAGACCAGCCAAGAGTGGGTTTGAAAAATCGAGGCAGAAAGTGACAAAAGGATGACAAATGATGATCTTGAAATCATTTCTGTGCTGATCAATTTCCACTGGAGCTGAGTGCAGGTGTGACATCTTGTGGGGCACAGGATCCGGCCTGGGCAGTATTGAACGAGTTCAAGACTGCAAGGAAGGTGAGTAAGGAGGAAACATAAACTACAGAAGTAGGGCTTTAGTAGCAGTGGTAGTGAGGTAGGGAAGTAAGCAAGCAATGTTCTGGAATGGAAGAAAGTGGTCCTGGCGATTGATCAGATCTGGGGTTTGAAATTCAGCTTGGGGTCAGAGAGAATGCCGAGTTTATAAACCACTGGGTTTAACAACCAGCACCACGACAACTCACACTTCTATAGCGCCCTCCAAGCAGGGTAGTGTCTCAGAGCGCTTAACAGTGGCAGAGCCTGACTCCGAGCCGGGTGGGGAGTGGGTGGGGAAGGCGGCCGTAAGCATGGTTGAAGAGGAAGGTTTTCAGGTGGGACATGAAAATGGGGAGGGGGCAAGGCGGAGGGATTGAGGGAGAGTGTTTCATGGTTTTGGAGCATAGGGGCTGAAGGAGTGGCCTTCGATGTTGGGGCGGAGCATGCGAGGGATGAGCAGGAGGCCGGTGCCAGTTGAGCGGAGGCGCCGGGTGGTGGATTGGGGAGTGAGGAGGTCGGAGAGGTAGGGAGGTGCCAGGGAGTGAAGGGATTTGAACACGAGTGTGAGGATCGTGAAGTCGGTCCATTCGGTGATGGGGAGCCAGTGGAGCCTGGGCCAGAACCGGTGAGATGTCAGTATGCAGGCGGCAGAATTCTGAATGAGCTGGATCTTTTGAATAGTGGAGCTGGGGAGACCGGCAGGGAGTGCGTTGGGAGTAATCCAGGCGGGAGGTGACAAACGCATGCACAAGGGTTACAGCTGCATTTGGGGTAAGGTACGGTCGGACGCGGGCATTGTGGCGGAAATGGAAGAAGGCGGTTCTGGTCAGGAACCAGATATGGGGGAAGGAAGGACAATGGGGTCGAACCGGACGCTTAGTTTGCGCACTGGTTCGGTGCGTCTGAGGGAGAGCCCAGGGAGTTTGAGAAGTTTAGATCCGCAGAAGTGAAGATGTTGATGGGAGTCAAGGAGTATGGCTTCTGTCTTGTCCTCATCCAGCTCCAGGAAGTTTACACTCACCCAGACAAGCTGATAGAATATCGGCAGACCTGGAGTTAGTACTGGAGGAGGCAAAGTAGATTTGTGTGTCATCCGCATACATGTGGAAGTTTAACCCGTGTCTGCAGATGACATTACCCAGAGCAAGCATTTAGATAAGGAAAAGAAGAGGGCCAAGGATGGAGCCCTGGAGTACCCCACAGGTGACTGGGCAGGGGAGGGAGGAGAAAAAATTCATAGAATCGTAGAATTATACAGCAAAGGAGACCATTCAGCCCATCGTGTCTATGCCGGCTCTTTGAAAAGAGCTATCCAAATCAATCGCACTCACCCGCTCTCTCCCCATAGCCCTGCAAACTTGTCCTCCCCAAATAATTATCTACTTCTCTCTTAAAAGTTGTTATCGAATCGACTCCACCACACTTTCAGGCAATCCATTCCAGATTCGAACAATTCGCTGCACGAAAAAATTTCTCCTCACCTCCCTTCTATTTCTTTTAACGATTTTAATCGATGTCCTCGGGTTACCAACCTACCCACCAGTGGAAATAGTTTTCCCTTGATCCCCCATCGAATCCCCTCATAATTTCGACGATGAAATTTGCCGAGATGAAGTGGAGGCAGTTGGTTAAATACGCTCGAACCATGCGAGTGCAGTCCCACTAAGGTGAATGAGGGAGGAGAGGCAGTGGAGGAAGATGGCATGGTCGACTGTGTCGAATGCGGCAGGGAGATCCAGGAGGACAAGGAGGCAGAGGGAACCCTGGTAAGATAGAGAGGACGTCGTTTGCGACTTTGACAAGCGCTGTCTCTGTGCTGTGGGCAGGGCGAGAACCAGGCTGCAGGGGTTCAAGGAGGGAGTGGAGGGAGAGGTGTGACCGAAGTTGACCTGCAACAATGCATTCCCAGACTTTGGCAAGGAAGGCTTTAACTCACGATTTCAACTGGGGAGGTTAATCGAAATGCTGCCGACGGCTCATGGGTGTTGCAGGAGCTGAACAAGGCGACTCCCGTCTTTTAAGTGATTAAATGCAGATTCATTAACTCTCAATGCTCTAGAGACTTACTCAGATTAAGTAAGGCTCATTGCTGTCTTTTTTATTAAATTGGCATCAAAATGTCGCTCCTATCTTAAAATAATTAGTTAATAATGGAGTCTAATATTATTTTATTTTCACTACTTTTTAAAAAAAACTTATGCTGTGCAATAAAAATAAGTGTTAATAATAATACTCCTTGCATTTGATAGAATGTCATCTTCAAGATGTCTCAAAGCACTTCACAGAATATACTGTAAAGTGAATTGACTTTATATTTTGTGGGCGAAACGCGGCAGCCAATTGTGCAAAGGAGTGTTCCACAAACAGTTGTGGATTGAGTGACCAAATTATTTTATTTATTTCAAGGGATTATTACCTTGTTATCTTATTACCTTATTACCCTAACCCTAACCCGCCAATTGTCTAACAACCAGGTTCCTACTTACTAGATAAACAGAGCCGTGTGGGTATTGTGTTGATATTGGAATAAATGATACAAACGGCTTCTGCAGCAGGCTCTCCCACTTACCGTCCATGAAGTCTATAGTAAGCTAGCTGAAGCCCAAGCTGTACGAAGATATCTGGATGGAGCCTTTTTTTGATAAGAGATTTTCCAAAGGCAGTGAAGGCATAACTAATAATCTGGATATCAGATACCTGTGAAACAAACAGCAGTCAGTACGTTTGAGAGACATTTCCCATAAAGCTTGTTAATGTTATTAAAGAGCTGTTTTTCTGACAACATGAAGCTTAACTGGTCTCAAATACCAGGTGGTAGAGCACTGAGCATTCGCATGCAAAAACAAACAACAACTTGCATTTATAAGGACTAAACTCTTGTCAGCCAATGTTCAACCAATGGATTTTGTTTGTGGCCAACCCGGTGTCTGACACATGCAGAAACACATCACTATGCTTAAGAATATCAATCCAAGCTGAGAGTTCCATGGATCCCACCTACACATGGAAATTCCCGTATATTGGAATGCACACTCTTTCCATGGAGGAATACACCTGCTTGTCTAATTCCAGAGATACTAGGCGCAGGCTGGCCAAGGCTTGGGGATCCCAGTGCACAGGGGTAGTGCTGGAGTCTAATCTACTAAAACTGCAGATCTACCATTGAAAGTGCTGTCTGGCAAGTTTCCCGAACTTTATAATACCTAAATATTCTCTCAGATTTGACAATAACTACCACAAAATAGGACAGAATTCAATGTTCAGTCAGACTGCTCCAAGGTCTTCCTGAGAAGCGGTGAAGGGCACTCTGGTCATGCTGAACCCTCTTCAAGAACAGCAAGGTCCCAATGCAGGTCAAGCTTGCAGCAACACTATCTGTGTGCAAATCATCCTCCTTTATGGATCCAAGCTCCTGCGGATGCAGCAGAGAGGCTTCCAGGGTTGGGGTGAGGAAGGGCAGAGGGGGTAGGAGGACGGCTGAAGGCACGATCAAAAAGGAGGGTCTTGAGTCATGCCTTGAAGGAGGCAAGAGAGGAAGCGAGGCGAAGGGATTGTGGGATGGAGTTCCAAAGAGGGGGGCAGAAAGGTTGAAAGCCCGGTTGCCGATCCTAGGGCAGGTCGGGCCGGAGACCTGGAGCAGGCCGGAGCCCGCTGAGCGGAGGAAGCGGAGAGGTTAATAGGGTGTCAGCACGTCACAGATGTAGGAGGGGGCAAGGCCATGGAGGGCCTTGAAAGTGAGGACGAAGATTTTGAATTCTATCCTCTGATGGATGGGGAGCCAGTGGAGCCGGGCGAGGGTGGGGGTGATGGGGCCACGGAGCCTGGTACAGGAGAGGACACAAGCTGCAGAGTTCTGGATGATCTGCAGCTTGCGGAGCAAAGAGTTGGGGAGGCTGACAAGGAGGAAATTTCCGTAGTCGAGCCTTGAGGTGATGAAAACATGGGGTTTATTGGGTAAATTGTGCTGTGGAATAGCTGCATGTCTTGTGGATGAAAGTAGAACTAACCGTCGACATACCTGTTTCTGGTACTGTTGTTTAGCTTGTTCTATATCCTCGAGAATCTTTTCATCCACTACAAAAATCAGCTCCTCGGGCAAAGGAATGTCACGGATTGCTTTTGAGCCCTGTGAGAAATTGTATTTTATAATATTTGTCATTATTACAGCAAGTCTGAAGAAACAATCCCATTAAATTTCTATAAACAATACTTATAGAATAAAATTAACTGATCATACAGAGACTGATCACATCATCCAAATGACTCAAACTGCTTCACAAGATTATTACTGTGGAGTGACTGAGTACTTGTAGGCAAATTCAGCAGCAATTCCTCGAAGCAATGTCCCACTAACAGCCATTAAGTAAAATACCAAACCTATCTGGAAAATTATTGACCCGGACAACTCGCTTCTCTTTTCCAATTGTACCATGGGATCTTTGACATCCACCTGAATTTGACGGGTCTCATTTGAAAGACTCATTTGAAAGAGGGTTGTAGGATGAATGCCATTAGGCCTTAGTGACTTTTCCACTTTGAATTCTGACAGCTTTTTTGGTAGTTCATTCTTATAGCCACCTGTTCAAATTACTCCATCTCCGGCTCTTAGATACTTTTCACTATAGTACTTGTGTTAAAAATGAAGGTAAAATATTCATTTAATATCTGTCCTTCCCCATTCTGCATGACAAGATTTCCCTTTTCATCTCTATTTGGCCTATTCTTTCCGTAACTATCCTTTTGCTTTACTATTTCCTTTGCCAGTTATTTTTCCTACCCCTTTTGGTGTTTCTAATTTCCCTTTTTGTCTTCCCCTCTACACAAGAATAATCCCTGCATTTTTTAAAATCTTTGCAGTGCCTTATCACGTCGTTGAGAGGTCTCAAAGCGCTTTACAGAATATACTGTAATGTGAATTGACTGTATTTTGTGGGCAAAACGTGGCAACCAATTGCACACAGCAATGTCCCACAAACAGTCATGGATTGAGTGACCAAATTATTTTTATTATTTTTTTGAACGGATTATTACCCCTGGAAAGTGAACCGCCAATCGACTAATAACCAAGTTCCTACTTACTGCTAGGTAAACAGAGGCCTGTGGAGTAGGGAAACTTACCAAACCTTTGCCCTACCCAAGAATCAAACCTGGGTTCTCTCGAATGTAATAATCCTTATACATGTCAGGTGGATATCTCAAAGCACTTCACAGGATATACTGTAAAGTGTATCTGTATGTTTTGTAGGTGAATGTGGCACAGAGCAATATTCACAGCGTTCAACTATATATTTGAAACTGCACTAGATTTTTTAATTGTATATTTGTCCTTTGATTCATCAAATGCCTGTTAATTTCTCTCATCCAAGCTTTGGATACACCCTTTTACTTCTTGCGGAGCTCCTTGTCTAAACAAGACATGCAAGACATTTTGAAAATGCTAGCAGTGCATTTCAGGATTACGAGCAAACCAATGGTGAATTTAATACAATATCATGTGAGGGTACTACTGACGCTAGACATTAATTTCCTTTACCACACTTACCTGCCACTTGCCTTCAATGCTTTTGACTTGTAGGTCAATATAATAGCACAAAGAAACCATGACCATGGCATCATACGGGGAATGCTGAAACAAGCAAGGAAATTATTCGTAGTTCAAACATGACATTACAAAGTGCAAGACAGACGGCTTATTGAAGCAGACAGCGTAAGAATTTCAGACTTTAGATAATTAGGGGCTCTTAGCAAGCTAAGGCGATGTCTCAGAAGAACCTTATTAGTGTATGTAAGATTTTAGATGAGTTGAGGGAATAAATAATAATAATAACTCTTGCATTTGATTTAGGACTTATTACGTTGTTGAGACATTTCAAAGTGCTTCACAGAATATACTGTCAAGTGTAGTGACTCTGTGTTTTGTGGATGAAACTGAGAGCAAGACGACACCAGGTGCAAAGGACAATTCAGGACAGACACCAGGAAGTTTTTCTTTACCTAAAGAAAGTGAAACTGGAATAGGTTACCAGAATGGGTGGTTGTGGCCAAGTCGCTGAGCCCATTAAAAAAAAACGCCTGCTGTGATGGGAGAAAAGAGTGGGTGCTCTGGAAGGATGAGATCAAATTGATCGAATGGCCTTCTTCATCCAACATCTCTTGTGAGCTTGTAACTATTTAACTGAAGTGACCAATTTATGCATATCAGAAAGGGTAGAATGAGGAAAAACCCATTGATAGTAATTTAGGCACTGAAGAGCATTGAGCTCACGTCCTTGCTCTACCACAGACCATTTCACGGCACTACAAACTGCCACTTCCCCTGAATCCAGATTTCCACAGGATTCGTTAACATCTCAAAATAGCTACTGAAAAAAAACCAGTCCAGCGAGGAAATCTGTTGTCAGACTTTGCCTGCTTGACATTCAATCTGACTTGGGAAATAACAATAACTTGCATTTATATAGTGCCCTTCATGCAGGGCAGCATCTCAGAGTGCTTAACAGTGGCGGAGCCTACACTGAACCGGGGAAACAGCACAAGCACTCAAGCAAGCTTTCAAAAACAACTTTAGACATTTGCAAATCTTACAATCTGAGAAGGATGCCATTTGTCAATTTGCATTTACACAGCAATAGCTCCTTGAAATGAAATATATAATTCGGACCCGATCGCATGTAATGAATCCAATTGAACATTGAAGTGTCATTGCTTATGGCATAATTTATCATAAATAATTGATTATACAGCGAGAGAGAGAGAGCATTTTATTTTAAAATTGTAAGCATTGAAATAACAGATTAACTGACTTACATCACAGTTTGAACCAAAAGTCCCATTGGCGAAACTGAGACAATTATAGGATTTGTCACCCCAGCGTACGGTTGGGTTTCCAGTCAGGGAAGCAGCACAGATCTGAAAGAACAACAACAACTTGGATTTATATAGCGCCCTCCACGCCGGACGGTGTCTCAGAGCGCTTCACAGTAATGGATCCTGGCGCCGAGCCAGGGGGAGGGGGAGGAAGGTGACCAAAGGCAGGGTCGAAGAGAAAGGTCTTCAGCAGAGACCTGAAAATAGGAAGAGGGGGAGCGAGGCGAAGGGAGTGAGGAAGGGAATTGCAGAGCCTCGGGGCATAGTGGCTGAAGGCACGACCGCCGAGGGTGGAGAGGAGGACTCGGGGGCGGGAAAGGGAGGAGGCCAGACCTGGAGGAACAAAGGCAACAGGTACTGTTTTGAGGAGAGAGGTAGGGGGGTGCAGAGGAGTGGAGGGATTTGAAGACAAGGGTGAGGATCTTGAAGTCGATCCTCTCGGGGATTAGGCAGCCAGTGCAGTCTGGCAAGGACTGGGGTGATCGGGGAGCGGAGTTTGGTGCGGGTGAGAATGCGGGCAACAGAGTTTTGAATGATTTGGATTTTATGGATGGTAGTGGATGGGAGACCGGCAAGAAGAGCGTTAGAATAGTCCAGCCAAGAGGTGAGAAAGGCATCGACTAGGGTTTCAGCGCCTTTGGGAGAGAGGTATTGGCGGAGACAGGCGATGCGACGGAGGTGGAATAAGGCGGTGCTGGTGAGGGACCGGATATGGGGGAGGAAGAATAATTGGGGGTCGAACCTGAGTTCGAAGCAGTTGACAAACAGTTAAAACAGAGTATACACATTTAACATGGAGTCCCGTAACAGATTGGTTAGAGCGCTTGCCTCACAAGCAAAAGAACCTGGATTTGATTTCTGGGCAGTGAGAAACGTTGGACAAGTTTCCTTACTCCACACACCTCTGTGCGCAATTAGCAGCTGTGTTGGATAGGTACATAAAAGGAAAAATTTGCAGGGTTATGAGGGAAGAACGGGGAGTGAGACTAGTTGGTAGCTCTTTCAAAGAGCCCATACAGGCATGATGGGCTGAATGGCCTCCTTCTGTGCTATAAGATTCTATGATTTTATGTCTGAAACTTAAAGCAAATACAAAACCAAACTACAACTAAAGACTTGCAATTTTCAATACACATCTGAAAGTGTGAATATTAAGTTCCTATACAATGTAAACTAAATTCACATGCATACATACACACCCACAGACACACACATAGATGCACATGCACACCTTCAATTATTCACCTCAGAATAATCTTCAGGTGATACATTGGGACTCGTATCATCCAATGACAACACAAACAAGGAGTTCTGAATTAGCTCCAGGACAGTCACATTTGTGGGGTCCAAGCTGATCAAATACTCCCGTGCCTGCAGGAGAAACAAAGTAAAATTATATGAAAATAAAGCCATTCGGAAACATTATCCTCCCTCTTCCAAGATCACAATCAACAGACCCTCCACTATACAGCATTTCTTGTCTCTACTCCTTCTACATGACTATGTCCCATTTGCCAGTTAAAGATCCCATGGCACAATTTGAAAAGAGGAGTTTCTCCCAGCCTGTCCTAGCCAACAATCCCCCAAACAAAATAGGTAATCTGTGAGGTACCGCTGTGTGCAAAAATTGGCTCATGCATTTGCATAGATACACAGTCACTACACTTTACAGTAAAATCCTGTTAAGCGCTTTGAGACGTTTTGACGACATAAGGCATTATATCAAATGAGCCAGCCTGACACCTCGTCATAAAATTATAGAATTACACAGCTCAGAAGGAGGCCATTTGGCCCATCGTGTCTTTGCTGGCTCTTTGAAAAGAGCTACCCAAATCAATCCTACTTCCCCGCGCTCTCCCCACATTCCCTCAAACTTGTCCTCCCCAAATAATTATCTATCTGATAAAGAATGATTTTTTTTTGGTCAGCTGGATGTCTGACACATATGGAAGGCTATCACCATGCTTAAGAGTATCTAAACCAAACTGAGAATTTCATACATCCCGCCTATACATAGAAATTCCAGAGACAGATTGTTGGAATGGAATACGCACTCTCTCCCTGGAGGGACTCATCCTGCTTACCTAATTCCAGCAAGTATTAACAGCCAAAGCTTGGGGGCCCCAAAGTGTGCATTAGAGTAATGCTGGAGTCTAACCAGCTAAAACCCCATAGCTTGCCACTGATATCGCTATCTGGCAAGCTTTCCCATTGCTTGTCCAGCTAGGACTACCCTCCTCATTTGGGCTTTCGCTTTCTAGGTCAATTGGAGCTGAGTGGGATGATTCCCTGCCCCCAGTTAAAGGGCAGCAAACGTGAGATTTAGAATTTTTTAGTGGCTTCAGCATTCCCGCTTAACGTTAAAACTCTAAACACTCCAACACCAGATCTCACAGCTGAAAGCGGAATTTATAATCTACTTAAGGGCTCTGAAGGTGGCAGTAATTGGAAGCTGCAGCCGGTACCTTCGCCCATTTTGTTCGCGCTTCAGAAGTCAGAGCTGAGACACCTGGTCCTTCAGGTTCCTTTCCACACAGTTCCCTGATGAATGTCAACTGTCTGTAGGACAAGATCAGCTCAGTGAGGAAGAGACTTGATGAACATTTGAGATTTCAGCACAAATTAATATTAACTCAAATCAATAAATCTTTTGAACTGTACTGTATCTAACAAAAAGTTTCAGAAGCTGGAACACACAACACAGGTAGAAAATTAGTTGGGATGTTAGGATAAAGATCCAAAAGGGACATTCTCCAATTAACTCCAGGTGCCTTGGAGTAATGTAGACTGTCTGGCTCAGGAACCAGTCTATTGAGATTACAAATTGCATATCAGGAAGATGTACCAAGGTGCTTCACAGTCAAGGGTTTGCACCCAAGCGGGGTTTGTAGTCAAGAGAGAAGGAGGGGTGGAGGACAAGGGAGGGGTGAAGGACAAGGGAGAGGTGAAGGACAAGGGAGAGGCGGAGGTCGGACGATGACTGAAGGCACGGTCAAAGAGGAAGGTCTTAGATAGGAAGGCAAAAAAGGGGCTGAGGCAAGGGAGGGGCTGAGGCGAGGGAGGGGCTGAGGCGAGGAAGGCCGTGAGGCGAGGAAGGGGGTGAGGCAGAGAGGCTCTGAGATGGAGTTCCAGATGGTGGGGGCAGGAAGGCTGATGGTGGAGCAGGCAGGGCAGCAGACATGGAGCAGGCTGGTGCCCGCCGAGTGGAGGGATCAGATAGGTTGGTAATGTTTTAGTAGGTCACAGAGTTAGGGAGGAGCAAGACCGTGAAGATCTCTGGAAGCCAGGAGTAGGATCTTAAACTTGATCCCCTGGGGGATGGGGAGACAGTGAAGCCGGGCGAGAATGGTGGGGATCAGCTCAACTCGATTCTGTTATTCCATTGGCGGTATCTTGGAGCCAACTCAGTTTCAAGGAGATGCAGCTTTGCTTCCCCTTCCCCCATCCACAAGAGGACCATAGAACAAGGTGCAATCTGTCTACTCAATCAGCTCTCTATCACATCGATTCTATTCTGGTGCTACGATTTACACAACGAAGATTAGAACTCAGAAGAAGAGGAAGTGAAAGTTCCCTGTCCAAAACAAACCCAGCAGATCCAAGTCACACTAGGCTGAAGGAGCTCCCCTCAGTGACCCTTGATCATAGCTTGTCCCTGTGCTCTGGAACTCCATCCCCCAGTGCCTTCACCCTTTCCTCCTTCAAGGCCAGTCTCAAGACCTTTCTCTTCGACCGTGCCTTCAGCTCCCCTCTCGACTCTACCCACTCCTCGCTCCCTCCCTTCCCTCCCCTCACCCTGACCATTTCCCCCCTGCTCGGGTCCCGACTCAATTGTCCAGCGCCTTGGGACGTCCTCCCGACGTGAAAGGCGCTCTACAAATGAAATGTTGTTGTCGTTGTTGTTTGCTTTTTTTCTCCTCTTTCCCATCTGCTCTGTGTTTTTTCATTCACAATATCTTACTGTTTCTTCACCCATCTGCCTATCACCCCTAAGTGCAAGAAAACATTGAAAACTAATTCATCGGTAATTTATATAATAAATCCTTGCATGCATAAATGCAAACTGACGAAATGTAACATGTCACATGTAAAAGATGATAATTTCAGGGTAATTTTAGGCCTCAGTCAACATTTCAAGTACATAACATTAGTAATGGAGCTTTCACTTCTTCTGAGCTCTTACATGTACATGCAGCTGTGCCAAAAAGGACTAAGTGTGGTAGAAAGCTGATAGAACAGATAGCTTGCAACACAATACAAAATTACCCCCTCCCTTGCCTCACCCCCTCCCTTGCCTTACCTTTCACGTCGGAGGACGTCCCAAGGCGCTGGATAGTCAACAATTTGGACCCAAGCGTTTGGGGTGGGGGGAATTGGGAGGGGGGTGGGGAGAATTGGGAGGCGGGTGGGGGGAATTGGGAGGCGGGTGGGGGGAATTGGGAGGCGGGTGGGGGGAATTGGGAAGGGGGTGGGGGGAATTGGGGTAAGGGAGGGTGGATGGCTGGGAGGTTAGCCGAAGGCACGGCCGAAGAGGAGGGTCTTGAGACATGCCTTGAAGGAGGCAAGGAAGGGAGCGAAGGGACTATGGGATGGAGTTCAAAAGGGTTGAGGCAGGGAGGCTGAAGGCCCAACCGCCAATGGTGGGACGGGCTGGACAGGGGATGCGTAACAGGCGGACAGGTTGATAAGGGGTTAGCAGGTCACAGTGGTAGGAAGGGGCAAGTCCATGGAGGACCTTGAAGGTGAGGATGAGGATTTTGAAAGAATTATTATCAATAATAATGATTTAAGCTCCACTGCAGGAATCCTGTAACTTAGTGGTTAAGCCAGTGGACCTAGATCCCCGACTCCTGAGCAGGGCAAAATCTTAGGCAAGTTTCCTTACTCCACCCTCCTTAGCAGTAAGTAGGAATCCAATTGTTAGTCGTTTGGCGGATCGCTTTTCCGGGGGTAATAATCCCTCCAATAAATAANTTTTTTTTAGATAATAATTTGGTCATTCAATCCACAACTGTTTTTGGGACACTGCGCATTTCACCCCCAAACTATACAGTCAATTCACTTCACTTTGTGGAGTCCTGTAGCTCAGTGGTTAGAGCATTCGCTTTGCAAGCGAGAGACCTGAGTTTAATTCCAGGCAGAGGGCGAAACCTTGGGCAAGTTTCCTTACTCCACACAGAGCCTAATAATAATCCCTCCAAAACCCCCCCAAAAAATAATAAATTGGTCATTTTCAATCTACGACTGTTTGTGGGACATTGCTGTGCGCAATTGGCTGCTGCGTTCGCCCACAAATATATACAGTCAATTCACTTTACAGTATATTCTGTGAAGCACTTTGGGATGTCCTCCCGCTGTGAAAAGCGCTATATCAAATGCAAGGATTATTATTATTATTATTTACAGTACATTCGATGGAGCACTTTGAGGCGTCTCAAAGACGCGATAAGGCGCGATATCTATTGCAACGATTATTATTATCCATACTGAAAGCACAAACCTGAAAATCTCTGGTGGTGTCAAGATTTGTTCATTAACCAATGTGTTAAATACAAAGACTCGACCCCGACATTGGACGATCAAGTGGGACGGACACGGTCCTTCCTCCTCTACAAAGAGATTAAAAGTAAATGGAATATTTTAAATAGATATTAGAATCCTTCCAATTTCTGAACAAATGTGCATTATGCACCATATGTAAACACATGGCCAGAGGAAATTACAGGTGTCCTTAATTTTATAACTAGCAACGAATGAAAAGAATGGAGTACAATATGATTAACATTTATGAAGCCCCTTTCACGTCAGAAAGATATCTCGATGCATTTCACAGTGCTTGAGGAGAACTCAAGCTGAGGTTGGTAGCCAAGCGGGATAGGGGCTGAGGAAGGGAAAGACAACTGAAAGCAGAGAAGTATGTTTTGAGACGTGTCTTGAAAGACGGGAGGAAGTGATCGAGTCAGAGGGACTCCAGGATGAACCTGGGAGCAGATCAGATGAAAGGCCATCTGTCAATGATGGGTCAGATAGGACAAGAGACATAAAGCAGGCTAGAATTCACTGAGTGAGTGGACAAATTAATAGGGCAGGAATAATACTAATAATACATTTCATTGGTTTTCAACGAGTTCCTTCTGCTGTTTTGGCCAACATGTTAATTTATGGGACCTTGGTAACATAAATAACAGCCACATTTCTTGACAAGTCTGTTAACAGTAATTACTGCGTGAAATGGTTTGAGAAGCTTCTATGTGATGAGGCACTATAAAATGCAATTAAGGAACATATGAGTAAATTGACAAGAGTTATATGCATAGAGCTACCTGCAATGATACCACACATAAATCATAAACCACACGATCCCTCACCTCTCCTGCATTCCTTTATTCCCTTCCTCCTCACAAATCTCTCTACTCCCTTCCTCCTCACAAATACATAAGGTTTTTTCTTAAATACACTGATGCTTTTTTGCTTCAAGTAGAGCTTCCAGCAGTGAATTCCGCATTCTCATCACCCTCTGAGCGAAGAAGTTCCCCCTAAACTCCCTTTTAGATCTCAAAGACACAATTGGACTGAACAACAACCTGCATTTTTATAACATTCTTCATGTAGGAAAACGTCTGAGCACTTCACAAAGACACTGAGTAAGGAAGAAGGAGAGGAGATGTAGGCGTGATGGAAGAGGTAGATGTGATTTAGACAGAGAGGGGGCGAGATGGAGGTGGGTCGTTCCAGAGATTAGGGGCACAGTTGCTGATACAGTCAGAAACCTGGTAATGCCAAAACAATTAACCCTCCAAATTAGAGTGTTGAACCAGAAATCATATTTTTCCAACCAACATGTATTTCTAGGACAGTAGCAACTCGCCTCCATAGGAATCCTGTTTATCCCAAACTACTCTTTACAGAAGAATAATGTAGAACGATACTTCGCTCAAATGTCTAGTAAGGATTACATTGAATGCAAAATTGAATGTGGAGTCCTGTAGCTCAGAGGTTAGAGCACTTGCCTCGCAATCAAGAGACCTGCTTTTGATTCCCGGCAGGGCGAAACATTAAGCACGTTTCCTTACTCCACACGCCTCGGTTTACTTCTACAGTAAGTAGAAACCCAGTTGTTAATCGATTGGTGGATCACTTTTCCTGGGGTAATAATTCCTTCAAAAAATAATAATAATTTGGTCACTCAATCCATGATTGTTTGTGGGATACTGCTGTGTGCAATTGGTTGTCGCGTTTCGCCCACAAAATACAGAGTATATTCTGTGAAGCGCTTTGAGAAGTCTCTAAGGCATGATAAGACGCTATATCAAATGCAAGGATTGTTATATTATTATAAAATTAATTACCAGTCTGAAAGTAGTTGACAATGGAATCTCTGGTCTCTCCGGGTATCCTGCAGGTGCAGTACAGCATACGGAACTGGTCCATGTCGAACGGTGCAGCACCACTTTTGTGTACCGCAAGTTGCTGTCTAAGATTAGAAAGAGAAATGAAGGATGTTGGCTCACCAAGAGATTACTGTAAGTCATACATATCACTTTAATTCCCACCACCTTTATACAGCAAACTATTTTTTAAGATATCCAAGAGAGGTACAGAAGCATGAGACATCAGGAGGAATGCCTTTGGTGAGAGAAATAAGTCTATTGTCCAGGATTTCTAATGGGAACCAGAATTACATCACACCAACCTGTGGGAACTCCACTCTGAAAGTGGAATGTCAGATGGGGATAATAATGATAATAATGATAATAATCCTTTTTGTTCAATGGGCCGGGTATCTGACATATGCGGAAACCCATCACCACGCTTAAGAGTATCCAAAACAAACTGGGTTTTCCAGGCATCCCACTTACACATGGAAATCCCAGAGATAGATTGTTGCAATGGAATGTGTGCTCTCTCCCTGGAGGGATGCTTCCTGCTTACCTAATCCTGGAAAGTATGAGGTGCAGGTTGGCAAGAGCCAAGACTTCGGGATCCTAGTGTGTGTTTTGGGGCACTGCTGGAGTCTGATGAGCTAAAACCACATAGCTTGCCATTGCTATCCGGCAAACTTTCCTTCTGCTTGTCCAGCTAGGACCACCCTACCCGGCAGGGCTTTGGCTTGAAGGGTTAACAGGAACTGAGTGGGATGATTCTCTACCCCCAGTGACTGGTCTACCCTTCTAGGTCATCAGCAGTGCCCTGGGATACAACGGACCTGCCTGGCTCAGGAACCGGACTACCGAGACTGACACAGAGGTCTACTCAATTCCGACATTCCATTGTCGGGCATGTTACCTTGGAGCCAGTACAGCTCCAAGGAAACCCCATTTACCCCTCTCCCCCCAAGGAGGATAGTCCAGCTAATAATCCTGCTAATAATCTCGGTAATAGTATAATACAATAATAATCATCCTGATTTAGCTCCTGTAGCATCGAGAATGTCTCAGAGCTTTTCTAAAAGTGTAGTGACTTGGTATTTGTAAGTTGGGGTGGGGGGGCTGTAACATACTTCTGATCTCTTTAATTGAGTTATCAGGTTAGAACTCACAACACATTAGATCCCACTGACCATAAAGTAAAAAGAAAATCAGCACAGTTCAAGCTTAAAACGAGACACAAGGCCAGAAATCTGACCTTGTGTTAGACTGTGAAACCATTTTCTCCTAAAATTTAAGATTGCACGGAATTGAGGAAATCTTTCAAATCTGGTCCCAGTGAGCTTGAGCACATTTCATTAACTAAGCAGCGTTTTCCAAATTAATGTTGCAATTCCCTTTGTGGAAACTGAGCTCAGCTCTGTGGGTGTTGAATACATGACGCAATAAAGCAGTCTTTTAAATCAAAGTGATCAAAATAGATACAAGCTGTATTAATGAGGATTTGCTGCGTGCGAGGAGGGCAAATCCTGCCAATTAAGCTCTTAATTCATCAGCTTGACATAATTCAGAAGCCTGGGTCAGTTGGCTTTGGGAAAAAACATGGAACTGGCAATGCATGCAGCAAAACCCAGCTGCGATCAAGCCTCTCCGGGTAAAGGGAGAGGGGGAGGAAACATAGCTTTGAATTGCTTACAGCAAAGCAGGCAGATCTCTGCCATCTGTGAGATTTGATGATATTTTGCCATTAGTAATAAAGACACAATATAATGTAAAGTGGATTAACTGTGCATTTTGTGGGCGAAACGCAGCAGTCAATTACGCACGAGGTAAGGGTTTGGCCTAGGTGTACATTTTACACGCCTTCTTAATTATTCTCGAGACTCAACTTACTTTCTGATCAGCTGCCAAAACACCACCGTGTAATAGACAACGAGAGCAGCTCTTTCAACCTGAGTGCCTTCCTTTGGTTCCCAGTAATGCTCCAAGTAGGGAGCAGCCCCTGCGAAGTTCACGTTCAGCATTGTTGGTTCACGGTTGTCCAGATATGCACTATTCAGCCACCATTCCTCGAGCTAGTCGAACAGCAAAAATAAAGCAAGTAATCTTAAAATATATTTAACACAACATGCAAATCGTACATTAATATATTTGGATTTTTTGGAGTGTCAGCTGGGTGTCTAACTCATCACCGTGCTTAGCTGTATCCAAACCAAACTGAGAACTTCATACATTCCACCAACACATGGAAATCCCAGAGATGGATTGTTGGAATGAAATGCGCGCTCTCTCCCCGGAGGGATGCATCCTGCTTATTTAGTTTCAGGAAAGTATTAGGCAGAGGTTGGCAAGAACCAAGGCTTGGGGACCCCAGCGTGTGAGTTGCGGTACTGCTGGAATCTAACCAGCTAAAACCCACATAGCTTCCATTGCTATTGCTGTCCGGCAAGCTTTCCTGCTGCTTGTCCAGCTAGGACCACCCTACCCATCAGGGCTTTGAATGGCAGGGTTAACAGGAAGTGAGTGGGATGACTCCCTGCCCCCAGTGACTGGTCTACCCTTCTAGATCCTGCCAATGAATCAGGTTGGCTGTGCTGTCATCGCCAGTGCCCTGGAATAGGATGCTACACAAGGAAGTAATAATAATCTTTGTATTTGCTATGGTGCCTTATCACATTGGAGGGATGTCTGAAAGCGTTTCACAAGATATACTGGGAAACGGAGGGACTGTGTATTTTGTAGGCAAAATGCAACACCCAGTTGCTCACAGCAATGTCACCCATAAGGCCACGGAGTGTGTGACCATTTTTTTTATTTTGGGGGATTCGTTGACCAGGAGTATGGGATCCTCAAAAAAAAGTAGCATCCAAAACCAACGTGCAATTGAATTTCAGTGAATGTGTTCAGTGGTTGAAAGATTACAGAACCCTTCAACTAGCAGTCACTATTTCCCTCCATAAGATACAGACAATTCCGATTTGTAACACTGCCCCCACGGACACTCAGTGCCCCCAAACCACTCAGTGCCCCCAGTGACTCAGTGCCCCCCAAACCACTCAGTGCCCCCAGTGACTCAGTGCCCCCCAAACCACTCAGTGCCCCCCTAATCACTGACTGCCTCCCGGCCACTCCCTGACCCCAACCATTCACTATCCCAAGTGACTCATTGCCCCACATCGCTGGCAACGGATCACTCATTGCCCTCCCCCACCCGGCTGCTCGTTGCCACCCCCCACACGCTGCCTCCCCCACACGCTCCCACCCCACACACTCCCCCACCCCACACACTCCCCCACCCCACACTCCCCCACCCCACGCTCCCCCCCCACCCCACGCTCCCCCCCCACCCCACGCTCCCCCCCCACCCCATGCTCCCCCCCAACCACACACTCCCCCCCAACCACACGCTGCTCCCCAACCACACGCTGCTCCCTCCCCCACGCCCCCTCCCCCCACGCCCCCCACCACGCTCCCCCCCACACGCACTCCCCCCCACACGCACCCCCCCACACGCACCCCCCACACACACACACTCACCCCCCCACACACACTCCCCGCCTCCCCACACTCCCCGCCCCCCCACACGCTCCCCCCAAATACTCACTGCACCCAGTGAATCAGTGCCCCCCCAAACCACTCAGTGCCCCCAGTGACTCGCCGCCCCCCGGCCTTTCGCTGGCACCTGGCCTCTCGCCGCCCCCAGGCCTCTCGCCGCCCCCCAGGCCTCTCGCCGCCCCCAGGCCTCTCGCCGCCCCCGAGGCCACTTACTGCCCCCCTCAGACAGTCAGTGCCCCCCGACCACTCAGAACCTCCCAGTGACTCATTTCCCCCTTTTTTCCTAAAAATCATGAGCTCTTTCAAAGGAGCCAACGCCTCACTGGGTATAGTATACAAGTTGTTTTACTTACCAACTGTTGACTATCCTCTGATGGAGGGGGCGAGGAAAGTGGGGTCTCCTTGGAGCTGAACTGATATCAGACAGTTAAACTCCAGCAGTCCCCCTAAACATACTCTGGCTACTGTGGTCCCTCAGCTCTTGGCAGCTTGCACCTAACACTATCCAGAATAAGGTAAACCGGCTGTGTCCCTCCAGGGAAAGATGCACATTTCATTCCAGACACAGGGAAACCTCCATTTGTAGGTGCCATACATATGTGGAATTCTCATCTGGTTTGGATATTTTTAAGCATGGAGATGAGTCTCCACCTGTGTCGAAAACCTGACTAATTAAAAACTAATCGGTTCACATAATTGTGAGGCTCATCTAGCATAGATGTATTTAAGGGAAAGCTAGATAGGTACATGGGGGAGAAAGGAATTGAAGGTTATGCTTGAAGGCTTAGTTGAGGAAGGGCAGGAGGAGACTCATATGGAGTATAAACACCGGCGTAGACGAGTTGGGCCGAATGGCCTGTTTCTGTGCTGTATATTCTAATGTATTCTAACTTATCTTAATCACATAAGAACTACATTACTATAATAATATTGACTCGTTTGTATCATTTTAGTGATCTTTACACAAAGGCATTTTAAAGTTGGTAGTTAGCTCTCTATTGCAGATTAGCAAATGTCCCCAATTGTGCATTCATTATGAACACCAATGTCATTTCAGCTGTCCACTTATACCAACAGTCTTTGGTGAGATGAGAGGATAGCTGACTGGGGTGTAACATCATTAGCAGGTAGGAAGTCAGATCTGATAAAAAGAACAGGCTTGATGGGCTGAATGGCCTCCTCCAATTCTACTACAACAACAACAAAATTACATTTGCATAGTGCCTTAATGTAACATAAAAGGAGTTGTCTGTCTTATAGAGGTATCTAAAACGATAAACAAGTTGGTTTTTTTAAACCATCACCATGTTTAAGAGTTTCCAAACCAAACTGAGATTTCGGTGCATCTCACCTGCACATGGAAATCCCAGAGACAGATTGTTGGAATGGAATGTGCACTCTCTCCCCGTAGGGACGCACCCTGCTAACCTAATAACAGAAAGTATTCCGTGCAGGTTGGCGAGAGCCAAGGCTTGGGGACCCCAGGGTGTGCGTTAGGGTACTGCTGAATTCTGGAGAATGCAAACCCAGAACCTTACTTTCAAATACATCAAGGTTGCAGGACAAAAAGGGACAGGTTTACAATTTATAGTTCAAGTTACTCTAACTAGTTTACTTCTATATATAAATAGCAACAGTATTATCTCAGGCTTCTTGCTTACCCAGTTTCTTTTATCTTTGGCCCAACTGTGAAGTTTTGCATGCAGCTCTGCACCCTGCCCACTTAAAAATCGTTTGGCAATCTGGGTCGTCGTTTGCAATTCCTCATGAGTCAAAAATGGTTTCACTAAAGCAGTTCAAATAGAAATCAACTGGATGAAAGCCACCAAACAATATTTAGAAATAGCCATATAGCATGATTAAAACACAAATGATTAAAACAAACATTTTGGAGAAATAAACAAGGCATTGCAACTATAAACAGCTGGAGATTGATACTCATTGGGACCTGGGACCTTTGCCCCAACAAAAAGTGCAATAACAATGAGTTAAGCTATATTACAATTTTAACAATGTAAAGTGGATTTGACTTAATCATAATAATACTTGCATAAGATTTAGCGCCTTATTACATTGTTGCAAAATGCCCCAAAATATAATCAAATCACAGACATGTGGCGTTGATGGAGAAATTCTTAAAATATTGAATATGAATGATCTGGAGGTCTGTAATGCAAGTCTGCACATTCAACTCGGGTTTTCACCTACAACTTAGTGCCAATCACAGCTTTACTCTGAACAATTTATTCAGTACACAGCCACGATCGCATTAATAGGCCCCCTGCCGTGTGCAGGACTATCATTAAATAACCCTACTCTTCCTCTCAACACCTAACTCAGCAGTAAAACAATCAATTGCAATTTATGAGCTCTCTTCTCTATTTCTACTAATATGATGTTCATGCTGTACCTGAATCCAAATACTTGGTTATGCTTTGGCACAAGTTGGGCACAGGTAAAGGAGGGCAGCGAGTCCTGATACTGAAACGTACGCTCTTCATTTGATTCGAACATCTGACCATCCATGTCTTCTCAATTGAAGTTTCAGACCTATTGTAAGTAACATTAATAAATCCGTTAAACATACTGTAGCATACACAGTATGTACAGCAAATTCACATTAGAGGAAGTTTTTTGAAAACCAAAAAACCGTCTCATTTGTAACCATCCCAGTCGTAACAGACCCAAGATAAGCCATTTATGATTGTTTTATCTCTTATGAAATGGCCTCAGCAGCCCTTTTCTCAGTTACTATTGTACAAATTTCAGCTGCACTTAGCTTTTGCTTCTTCTGAGTTCATTCTGTGATATAGTGACAATGGTATGTTTTAACTTCAGCAAAATAATTTATAATCATTCATCTCTGAGAAGTAGAAATCTCTTCTCACCTTTATCGTTCTGAATCTAACCAACAGGACTCAGTTCTGGAAGTGTTGGGTAATTTGTAAAGATTTATAAAGAATGCACAGCACAGAAACAGGCCACTCAGTCCAACAGGATCCACGCTGGTATTTACAACACACACAAGACTCCACATACTCCTTACCCCCTCTCATACACTTCTATTCCCTTCTCCCTCATGTATGTATATATATATATACCTCAAGATTGCATCAATACTATCTGATTCAACCACACTTTGGGGAATGAGTGCCACAATCTCACGACTCTGTGTGTGAAGCATTTCCTCCTAAATTCTCTTTTTGATCCCCTAGTCACTATTTTATCCTTCTGTCCCCTGACAAGTGTGAGCAGCCTATTTATGCTAACATTATCGAACGCTTTTATAATTTTGAACACCTCTATTATGTCCCCCTTAAATTTTTCTCCTCTTTATCAAAAAGTGGCCCAACCCAGCCAGTCTATTCTGATAGTAGTAAGTCTACAGCCTTGGAATCATCCTCATAAGCTTAATCTGCACTCTTTCCTATATTCATATATCAGTAAAAGAAATACCAAGATCTGCTTCATTATCCCAGAGTAAAATCCTTCATTCACTGCTGGAACTTTAACCAGATTCCTGGATTGATCTGGGAAAAGCAAGGGCCTAACAGTCTGTAACATTTTCTAGCATTGCTCTCCCAGCAGTGCACACATAAGGAAAAAGCTTGTCAAAGTGGCAGCTCACTTTCTAACTACACTTGTCTAATATATCTGACAACACTTTATTATATTATTTATTATATATATGGGAATTCTGGAGGTGAAAGATTTATGTATTCACTATAATGAAGGGAAATGACAATGCAAATAGAGAACGTTCACTCTCATTGTATTTAAAATTAGAGCCAAGCTGCTGATATGGAAAAAAATTGTGGGCATATGGAATGGACTGCCTCAGCAATACAGTAATTTAAAGAGATAGAGAGCTTGGTAAGTAAGAATGCTGATTAAATAATATCCTTGCATTTGATATACCACTTTATCACAATGTCTCAAAACACTTCTCGCGATTTTACTCTAAAGTGTAGTGACTGTATTTGTAGACGAACACAACAGCCAGTTTGCGTACAGCAATGTTCTTCAAACAGCCATGAAGTGAATGGGCAATTTTATCTGAGGGATTGTAGTAGACAAAGTCTTGAAATGGGTGATATTCCCGGTTTCTGCGTGCGCGTTTCGGCTGCCCCCCCAACCCGAGCCTCCCCTTCCACTCTAAATGTCTCTCCTCCCACCCCCCTCTATCCGCTACTCCTCCTCTGTCATTCTCTCCCGCCGCCCTCCCCCCACCTATCTTCCATTTTCAACCATTCTACCCCACTCTCTGGAACTCCATCCAACTCGCTCCCTCCCTCGTTCAAGGCCCGTTTCATAATACGTCCCTTTAATTGTGCTTTCAGTCATCTTTCTCCTCCTGCTCTGCCCACTCTCCTCACCGCCCACTCTCAGCTCAGATGACCAGCCAGCATCGCCAAGTGCTTTAGGACAGTTTTCCGATGTGAATGGTGCGATATACCTTTATTATATATACACAATAGGTATATACATATAACAATTGTACCTAATATACTGTTTTGTAACACTGTTAAGATCAGATCTAGTAGCACGTTTATAAACATTATCAATTGAAACTTTCCTCAAGAATGCCCGTGAAGTGGAAAAAAAAATGAATGACTTTCAACAGAGTTAGGGCATTTTCTGCCAGAGCTGGTAGTAGCAGCAGCAGCAATGTAAAGTACAATATATTAACTTCTTTGCTCATTGATTTAGATTTGCTATTTTGGTCCATGTGAGAAGTACTGGGATTATCAGTGAAGTTATTTTCCAGTCAGTGTTACAGCCCAATGCTTTACTATAATAATAATCCTTGCATTTGATATAGCGCTTTTCACGTCTTCTCTTCGTCTCAAAGCACTGCACAGAATAGACTGTAAAGTGAATTGACTCTATAGTTGTGGGCGAAACACAGCAGCCAATTGCGCACAGCAATGGATTGAAAATGACCAATTTATTATTGTTTTGTTTTGGAGGGATTATTATTAGGTGTGTGGAGTAAGGAAACTTGCCCAAGGTTTCACCCTCTGCCGGGAATTGAACCCAGGTGTCTCGCTTGCAAGGTGAGTGCTCTAACCACTGAGCTGCAGGACTCCACACTCTTGGGCTCGACTATTGCACATAGAATGAAATTGATGTCCTTACAGATGTATGTGGTCATGGTCAGAATAAAAATATGTTAATCGAATTTGGATGGAAATGATGCACAATCTATGGCAGTAATCTGGGGCATATCCATAGAACTGTTTGATTATAACATTAAATCAGGTAGGAGAAGTGTTTGCATCTTAATTAACCATGCTGGAACTATCCTGTGGAGTCCTGTAGCTCAGTGGTTAGAGCACTCGCCTTGCAAGCGAGACACCTGGGTTCAATTCCAGGCAGAGGGCGAAACCTTGGGCAAGTTTCCTTACTCCACACTAATAATAATCCCTCCAAAACAAAAACAATAATAAATTGGTCACTTCAACCCACGACTGTTTGTGGGACACTGCTGTGCGCAATTGGCTGCTGCGTTTCGCCCACAAATATAGAGTCAATTTACTTTACAGTCTATTCTGTGAAGCGCTTTGAGACGAAGAGAAGACGTGAAAAGCGCTATATCAAATGCAAGGATTATTATTATTATTATTATTATCTGACTCTCTCCCTCCCTCACTCAAGCCCCATTTCAAAACACGTTCTGTTAAACCTTTATAAATCACTGGTTAGTGTCCAATTCTGGGCACCACACTTTACGAAGGATATCAAGTCCTTGGAGAGGGTGCAGAGGAGATTTACCAGAATGGTACCAGGGATGAGGGATTTTAGTTATGCGGAGAGACTAGAGAAGCTGGGATTGTTCTCCTTAGCGCAGAGAAGGTTAAGGGGAGATTTAATAGAGATGTTCAAAATTATGAAGGGATTTGATCCCATTTGTAGATAAGGAGAAACTGTTTCCACTGGCTAGTGGGTCGGTAACCAGGGGACATAAATTTAAGATAATTGGCAAAAGAACCAGAGGGGAGATGAGGAGAAATTATTTTACACAGAGAGTTGTTATGGACTGGAATGCACTGCCTGAAAGGGTGGTGGAAACAGATTCAATAACAACTTTTAAAAGGGAATTAGATAGGTACTTGAAAAGGAAAAATTTGCAAGGATATTGGGAAAAATTGGGGGAGTGTGACTGATTGGATAGCTCTTTCAAACAGCCAGCACAGGCACGATGGGCCGAATGGCCTCCTTCTGTGCTGTAATATTGTATGATTCTATGCCTTGTTGATCATGCTCTCAGTCTCCTTAGCCCTCCCGCCCAGCCCACCATCTTCTGCTCCCACCCTCAGCTTGGGTGACCAGCTGGCATCGCTCACTATAACAAGAACACAATAAAACATACAATACAAAATTATATTTGTATAGCGCGCTTCACATCAGGAGGATGTCACAAGGTGCTGGACAGTCAGAGATTTGTACCTGAGCAGTGGGGGGTTGGGATCAGGGAAGGTGGAGGGCAGGGAGAGCAGAAGGGTGGCCAAAGGTGCGGTCGAAGAGGAGGGTCTTGAGACATGCCTTGAAGGAGGCAACGGAGGGAGGCAAGGACAGGGGTTTTGAACACTATCCTCTGGAGGATGGGGAGTTAATGGAACTGGGCGAGGGTGATGGTGATAGAGTCACGGAGCATGGTGAGGGAGAGGCCACGAGCTGCAGAGTTCTGGATAATCTGCAGCTTGTAGGGGGAAGAGAAGGGAAGGCCGACAAGCAGCGAGTTGACGTATTCAAGCCTAGATGTGATGAGCACGTGGATGAGGGTTTCAGCGGCCTGAGACAGTGGCGGAGCCAGGCAATGTTGCGGAGAGCGGCACCGATGTGGGGTAGAAAGGACAGTTGAAGGTCAAACAAGATGCTAAGGTTGTGAACTGGGTTAGTAAGATGGAGTGTGCATCCATGGATGGTGATGCTGCCAGCACCTGAGGTGAGGAGGCACTGACAGGAGTCAATCAGGAGAGCCTCGGTCTTGTTGACGTTCAACTGTAGAAAGTTAGTTCTCATCCAGGACTTGATGTCTGACAGATTCTGTTAGGATAGCAGTGGTCCTGGAGTCGAGGGTGGAGGCAGAGAGATAGAGTTGGGTGACATCCAGTGGAAAATAATTTATGGTCAAATGCATCACAGCTTCAACTGGAGGCACTGATGCACATCAATTTAATGGGGTGTATTAAAGCCAGTACAGTACAGTACAGAGCAAGTGGACTGTCAAGTTTAATTTTCCAAAAGGCTTTCAAGAATCTGCAGGTTTATTTACTCAATGAACCTAATGGAAGGAGGTAATCAAACACTGGAACATGCACTTAAATAGATGTACATTTTATCTCCAAATTAGCTAGATATTGTAGATAATCTAAGACTAATGGCATTTGTGCTTCCCTTCAACCTTCCCCTCTGGTTTCAAGATACAGTATTATTGAGTCAAACATCAGGGTATGTGTGGAGTATGTAAATGACGGGGGAAAAAAAATTACCTCCTTTGTAAGGTCTTCTCCTATCCTATCATCCCCATACACAACAATCACACA